TTTCTTTCTTTCTTTCTTTCTTTCTTTCTTTCTTTCTTTCTTTCTTTTTTCTTTTTTCTTTTTTTTTTCTTTTTAGTTATACTGTGTAACCCTAGCTGTCCTGGAACAGTTTTTGTAGACCAGACTGGACTTAAAACTCAGAGATCCTCCTGCCCCTGCCTCCTGAATTACTGTCTCAGTTTAATTAAGTTTTGGAATTAAAGGCATGCACCACCATGCCTGGCCAGCAGCTTTAGTTTTCTGATCTGAACCATCAAAACTCTGCCTTGGATTTAAGACTTACATATTTAAGGCAAGGAGCCATTGAAAGTGGATGATATCTTCATAGCTTGACTTTATTCTGCAGTTCCAGCTTTCTAAATTTGTACTTTTAAAACATTGAAAGTGGTTGCCTGAGCTATGGGAAGATTTGCCTTTTCTTTCTTTCTTTCTTTCTTTCTTTCTTTCTTTCTTTGTATCTATCTTTCTTCCTTCCTTTCTTTCTTTCTGTATATTGTTTCACATTTTATTGCTTTGTTTTGTCTCACTTTGTAGCCAGGCTGGCTTTGAACTTGCAGTTTTCTAGCTTTCTGAATGCTAAGATTGCAGACATGAGCCAACACATCTGTCTCTTCCACTTATGGGAGATAGAGAGGTGGCTCAGCTGTTAAGAGCACTGACCACTCTTCCAGGGGACCCAAGTTCAGTTCCCAGCACTCACATGGTGGCTCATAACTATCTTTACCTCCCGTTCCAGGGGACCTGATGCCCTCTTCTCACCTCTTCAGGTACCAGACAAGTACATGGTACTCAGACATACATGCAGACAAAACACCCACACATATAAAAGAAATAAAAGTTGTAAAAGACTAGTAAATGTCAGTATTTTCTTGAAAGACCCATAACTTGCTGTCTTATTCTGTTCACCTTGGGTTCCAGTGTAACTGGCCACAGCCACTCTGACTGTATCTTTGCTGTAGCCTTCTGACTACTTCGTTTCTTTTCTTCGAGGAGATGGGCCACTGTTGGAACTAGAAATGCCAGATCAACTGTCTAGATAATCTACCGTGTAGAGACAGAATACTACGTAGATTTTTAGGAGTTTCAATATCTTACGTAATTAAAAAAAGCGTGTGTGTGTGTGTGTGTGTGTGTGTGTGTGTGTGTGAGTGTGTGTGTGTGAGTGTGTGTGTGTGTGAGTGGGTGTGTGTGAGTGTGTATGTGAGTGTGTGTGTGTGTGTGTGTGAGTGTGTGTGTGTGTGTGTATGTGAGTGTGTGTGTTAGAGAGAGAGAGAGAGACAGAGAGAATGACTGCATGCCGTATGTCTGCAGGTACCCATGAAGAGCATAGGCTTCCTAAGGGCTGGCGTAACAAGCCGCTGTGAGCGGAGCAGCGTGGCACTGGGGGCGGAACTCAGGTCCTCTGGAAGAACAGGCAGCACTGCGGCCTACTATACTACTTCCAGCCCTGCCTAATTGTTTTGGCCCTTAGCACATAATATATAAAAGTAGAATAACAGAGGGGAAAGACTTTGGCTATTTTTTAAAAAAAATTTATGAAGGAATTAAGTGTTTTTAGAGAAAATGACCATGTCACTCTGTTGAAGTCTCCTAAGATCCTATGTATAAATCCTTTCTTTTATCCTTAACTCCTTAGGGACTTTCGGAAATCTCAGCATGGTTGAGATAGAGCAGGCCGAGGCCCAGCTCTCTGAGTTAGATCTCCTGGCCAGTATGTTCCCTGGTGAGAATGAGTTCACAGTGAATGACCAGCTGGCATTAGCGGAGCTGAAAGATTGTGTTGAGAAGAGGACAATGGAGGGGCGCTCATCACAAGTATACTTTACGATCAATATGAACCTGGACTTAGCTCAGGAAGCAATGGTAATTCTGTTCTGTTCTGGAAAGAATTAGAGCATGTCAAGAATAGTGTGTGAGTGTGTAAATAACACAGCATTATTTTCTTCTTTCTCCTCTTCTCAGGTGATGTTTTCTCTGTCTTGCATTCTTCCCTTTAAATACCCTACAGTCTTGCCCGAAATTACAGTCAGGTATGTACAGAAATCATGTCCACTATACAGGACAAAGTGAGAATAAAAGTATTCCTTGCATTTGTTTGCTTTTCCAAGAAAATTGACCAAAGTTTTCCATGTCTGTTTTCATCAGGTCAGCATCACTGAGTAGGTCCCGGCAGACTCAGCTGAACACAGATCTAACAGCACACCTGCAGAACTATCTTGGAGATGTCTGCATACTGAATGCCACAGAGTGGGTGAGAGAGCATGCCTCTGACTATGTCGACAGAGATACCTCAGTCTCCCCCACCAAGGACAGCACCATCCAGCCAGTGGACCTCACTGTCACAAGGCTCTGGATCTATAGCCATCATATCTACAACAAATGCAAAAGAAAAAGCATTTTAGAGTGGGCAAAGGAGCTGTCCCTGTGTGGGTTCAGCATGCCTGGGAAACCTGGTGTTGTTTGTGTGGAAGGCCTACAGAGCGCTTGTGAAGAATTCTGGTCAAGGTGGGTTTTCACCTGTGCTATATATCACATCAGTGATTGTAATGTGAAAGATGGTGCTAGAGATGCAGAGATACGTGTGCTTCAGGGAGCTATCCACTGACCTTATTTCTCTGTTTAGTTCTGAGAAGTTCCCTAAGCATTTGAAGAGCTCTAAAATATTTGCAGCAGTGGCTGAGTTTGTAACTCAGCTAGTAGAGTGCTTGCCTGGCAAGCACAAGGCTTTGAGTTCAGTCCTAAGCACCACATCCAGCACGCATGGAGGCACACGACTGTGATCTTGGCCCCACATGGCTGTGATCTGGGCCCTTTAGGGTAGAAATCAGAGGATCCAGAGTTCAGTGCCACCTTTGGTGACATAGCAAGATAGAGGCCAGCCTGAGAGTCACGTGACCCTCTCACAAAATAAATCAGAGTCTAATGGAAGAAAATAATGATGACCATGAATGAATGTTCCATTGGAATCATGACTAGAACTGTTTGGTGAAAATAAGCCCCTGCAAGATTGCCTCTTTACTTACAGGAACATATACCAGTAAGTAATTTACTGTCGTTTTGTTACGGCTTGTTTTGTTTTTGAGACAAGATCTCATTCTATAACCTTGGATGCTGTGGAACACCCTCCGTAGACGGGGCTGGTCTCCAATCACAGAGCTGCACTTTGCCTCCCAAGTGCTGGGGTTAAGTGCTGTACAACCACTCTCAATTCTGATATGTGTGGGTCTTAACAAATTCCATCCTCTGTGCTATTGGAAATATATTTTGGAAATTTTCTACTTTGAAAAACTGTTTTTCAGACTGAGAAAATTAAACTGGAAGAGAATTTTAATTCGCCATCGAGAAGATATTCCTTTTGATGGTACAACTGAAGGAATGGCAAAACAACAGAAATTTTCCGTTTTTGAAGAAAAGGCCTTCAGTGTCCATGGAGCCAGAGGAAACCACATGGACTTTGGTCAACTGTATCAGTTCTTAAATGCCAGGGGCTGTGGGGATGTTTTCCAGATGTTCTTCGGTGTAGAAGGACAGTGACTGAGCAGGGGGTGGTCAGACTGCTGGGCCGCTGCTCCTCTTGTCATTGCTTCTTCCCATTCTATATTAAAATGTGATTTTAGTTCCATTCCAGAGTGTTATAGCATTGGGGACATAAGAAAAAAAGTAATGCAGTTGAGATGCATGTGTCAAAACATGCCTCGCCAGCCAGGCTCAGTGGTTCATGCCTATAATCCCAGCACTCTGAAGTGACGGCAGGAGAAGGGAATGATGGGCCAAGACATCTACAGAAATGCCAGTCTTACTTACTTGTCACATGTGGCCCCAAAATTAACCTTTGGCTATTTCCAGACTTTCAAAATAAAATGAAATTTTAAAGTCTCTATGCTTGTTATCAGCAGTCAAAAGTTTGTCGGATTTTTTCTTTTTTTTTTCAAAGCTTTGGCTTTGAAACTACCCTGGCATTCCATATACTAACAGTAAAGTCTTTGGTTTTTTGTTTGTTTACTTTGGTTTTGGTTTTAGGAGACAAGGTTTCTCTGTGTATCCTTAGCTGTCCTGGAACTCCCTTTGTAGCCTAGGTTGTCCTCGAACTCATAGAGATCCACCTGCCTCTGCCACCCAAATGCTGGGATAAAAGGCGTACGTCACCACTATCTGATTAACATAAAGCTTTTTCTCAGTGGTGTTTGTGGTTCATTTCTAATTCGGGGTACTTAGACATGGCCCCTGTTTGGGATTGCTTCACTAAGGTCTGAGGCATGAGCAGAGCTCAAATGGTATTTTGTTGTTGTTTCTTTGTTTTTAAGACAAGGCCTCAGTATATAGCCGTGTCTGGCTTGCAACTTACTATGTATATCAGGCTCTGTCTGCGTTGGACTCCATAGTGCTGGGATTAAAGGATTTGTGTGTGTGAGAAAGAGAGAGAACGAGAGAGAGAGAGATAGTACACTCAGTTTGAATTCAATTTTTTTCAAAAGTCCTTAAGAGTTCAGATTGTAAATTCATAGAATTTAGTTTTTGCAACTTAGAGTTTGACAATTTTTCATTCTGGAAATGATTTTTTGTAATTTTATTTGACAAATTGACCTAGAGTTGATAACCACCCTGCAGTGAATCGTTTATCTTACAAGCAATATTGTGTGTCTATATGTATGTGTGTTTGTGTGTATTATATATACTGACTGAATGAATTAGGATACAAAATCCAATATGACATAGAATTCAAAGAGAGTAAGACACAGCCAAGTCCTTTGGACAGGGCCGATAAACACGGATGAGAGCCCAAGTATTTGCTGAACCCAGGGCCCACGTTTATGTCTCCTGGAACTCCGGAGGAGCTCCCTGGTTCCCACTCCCAGCTGGGCTTGTCACTTGCTCCAGAAATATCAGTTATTCCTCTTGCTGCTACGATACAGCCAGACCTGCCAGAGCGAAAATCATGGAAGCTACTGAAAGGACCCAGGCTGTGAAAGAGAGAGAGAAAGAGAGAGAGAGAAGTAGATATATTACATACAATGAATTACTTACTACAGAACTACTATAACTTACAGTCTTGTATACTGTAATAAAAATACGGTGCAATGGACAAATAATCAGATCTCAGATCTCATATGTAATATTATAGCATTGCAGTAAAGCTTGAAGTAGTCTCTTTCCCAAGACAGATCTTCCAAATTTAGATATTTCTCTTTTAAAAAAAGACATTTATTTATTATGTATACAATGTTCTGCCTGCATGTACACCTGCAGGCCAGAAGAGGGCACCAGATCTTATTATAGATGATTGTGAGCCCTGGTTGCTGGGAATTGAACTCAGGACCTCTGGAAGAGCAGCCAGTGCTCTTAACCTCTGAGCCATCTCTCCAGTCCTAATATAGATATTTCTAATTGTTAAATACATAGTAAACAAGAGAAGTACAGATATTCTGACCTCTTAATTAAGACAGTTCTATGAGCCAGGTGTCATGGTGTACATCTTTAATCCCAGCACTCCAGAAGCAGAGGTAGGTGAACCTCTGAGTTTGAAGTCAGCCTGGTCTATACAATAAGTTCCAGGTTAGTCCTCCCTCAACTCTGTTTTTATTCATTTAACTTAGGGTGCATGGGGATTTTCTTTCTTTCTTTCTTTCTTTCTTTCTTTCTTTCTTTCTTTCTTTCTTTCGTTTTCTTGAAAGAAGGTTTCTCTGTGTGACCGAACCCTGGCTGTCTAGACTCGCTTTGTAGACCAAGGTGACCTCAGACTCAGGACACAGAGATCCGCCTGCCTCTGCCTCCCAAGTGCTAGGATTAAAAGCATCTACTACCATTGCCAAGCTCCAAGGTTTTTTTAAAAGAAATATTCTTATTATGTTTTTTGAGGATTTGGATGAAGATTTGGGGAGATATATATATATATATATATATATATATATATATATATATATATATATATATATATATATACACACACACATATACATACATGTATGGATATATATGTATACACATATATATGTTAAAGTTTTGTTTTGTTTTTGTTTTTTTGAGACAAGTTTTCTCTGTGTAGTCTTGACTGTCCTCCACTCACTTTGTAGACCAGGCTGGCCTATGACTCACAGAGCTCTGTCTGTGTCTGCCTTTCAGAAAGCTGGTTAAAGTATCTTTTATTCAGCTGATTTAATTGTCATCTCAGAGGCTTACTGCCTCCATCTGTTAAACCAGGTCTAGTCCTAGAAGCTTCTAGCCTCCGTACAGTCTAATCTAGGCCTAGACTGTTTTCAGCCTCTGCTACTTACCGCTGAATAGGCTTACCCTTTCTAGCTCTTTCTGAATTCTGGCTGGCAGATTCGACTCAGCTGTTTGGCTCAAAACTCTTCTTTAAGCTGACTGATTCAAACTGGCTTTTTTCAGCTTCTGACTGAATTGCTCCATTTAGCCTCAACCTATCTCTAGTGGTCTGTTTTAATCTTCTGATTCCTTCTCATTCTGGTTCATTCTGTCTTGAACTGTGTATAGTTTGTTCTCTTTCAACCTCTCTCTGTAAAACTCTCCTGGTAAAATGCCTCTGAAGTCTCCCAATTGAACTGCAACAAACAACTCAACTCACTGACTCAAATGAAAACTGCCTGAACAGAACTGACTAGAACTCAGAGATCTGCATGCCTCTGTCTTCTGAGTGCTGGGATTAAAGGTGTGTACCATAATACCTGGACCTAAGCTTTTCTTTACGTGACTCTTTCTCTATACCAGACTGGCCTTGAACGCAGGGATCTGATTGCTTCTGTCTCCTGGGAGTAAAGGAATGTCTATGTTTCAGCTGTATCACACAGACCTAGAAGGTCTTTGGGTGTAAAATTCATATATATATTTGTGTATGTATATATACATATATATATGTATATATAATCACTGCATTCAAGCACTGATAAAAATAGTATCTCAAATGTCATTGGAAAAACTAGTTGCTGCTGGAGAAAATAACTAAATATACCTTTATTATAAATTTATACTATATTATCATTTCTATATTGTATTTATTATAAATTTACGTACACACATCTGTAAGATTTTCTTCACTGTGAATTAGATGTTTATACTATGATTTTAATAATAGTATTCATCCAGTTTATATTTTAAATTAATTAATTAGTTGAGATAGAGTCTCGCTATGTAGTTCTGTTGTCCTGGGACTGTGCAGACCAGGCTGGCCTCAAACTCAAAGATCCACCTGCCTCTTCCTCCCTGAGTGCTGGAATTATAGGCGTGTGCCACTGTGCCGGGCTATAGTTTTACTTTTTAAACATTTATACATTTATTTATTTACTTTGTGTGTGTGTGTGAGAGAGAGTGTGTCCATGTGTATGTGTTCCTATGTGTTCTGTTCTGCATGTGGAGGCTGAGAACATCTTGCAGAATTTAGTTTTGGTTTTCCATAATGTGGATCCTGGCTGGGAATTGAACTCTGATTATCAGATTTGGAGCTGAGCCACCTTGCTAACAAATCTTTTCAGAGTCTCCAATTCCTGTACTGCTGCTGATTACAGTCTTGCTCTTTGATGGAAAGTGTATAGCACTCTCATATTTCTTTGCACTTTCAGGGCATACATGTGTATCCCTATGTAGAGCTGGATTTCACATGATGGTTATGTGCCACTGATAAGAGTGCTAGAAACCGAATTTGGGTTTTCTGGGAGAGCAGTAAGCACCTCAACCACCTAGCCTTTATGAAACCCCTGAACCACTGAATGTCAGCCCTGATGGCTTCACACTTAACATTTTGCAGTGAGGCATGCAATAAATAGTTATTTTCTCCAACACAACTAGTTTTTCCAATGATATTTGAGATGCCACTTTTACTAGTGCTTGAACGCAGTGAGAAAGCTTAAAGGCTTAAGAACCCTTGCTACAAGGACTCAATTTGGGTTCCCAGCAGCCATGTCAGGTGGCTCACAGAAGCCTGAAATTGTATCTTCTGTCGCACACACACGCGCGCGCGCGCGCGCGCGCACACACACACACACACACACACACACGCACACACACATACAAATATGCACACAAGGCGTGCATATTAAACTAAACCTTTACAATTAAAAAATTCCAATCTAAGTTCACATTCCTTTAATTGGCATATAATTCGATTCAAACAAGAGCCACACATTATATTTGCAAATTTTATCTTAGGCATTTTAAAATATATTTCTCTCCCTTCTTCCATCATATTTACTTGTGAAACTATTTTTTTTTTTTTGGTAGAATTTCCAACATTCTGAATTCTTGGACTGTGCCAGTGTCATTTTATATGCCCCTCTGTATCCTTTAAATTATTAGATCTGAAGCTTAGTTAGACTCCTTTTAGAATATTTAATAGGTCTTGAGTACTTTCCATTCCATTACATCAAGACACATAATAGCTCACTGATAATCTTTTGATGCTCGTTAAATTCTCATTAAAGAGAATTTTGAGGGTGTGATGCTAGGTATTCAACTAGACCTTCGTCCGCAGTAGACAAGTGCTCTCCCATTGAGCTGCACCCTAAATTTCATACTATAGAGATATGTCAGATATTGTCAGTTTGATTCATCCAGCTTTCTGTGGGCTTTTTTCTCATGACCTAACTCCTGCCTCACTTTAATATGGAAAAGAGGGGGAGATCTACAAAGAGTATAGCATGAAACAGTATCCATATTTTAGTACGAACGGGAATCTTGTTAAATTCAGAATATGACTGTTTAGTCCTAGGCCTGAGAGTCTGTTTTTCATGCCGATGATCGCATCACTTTCTTTACTTCTAGCTCTTTTTAGTACAGTTGCTGCGACATCATTCTGTTGTAATCTTGTGTGAGAATAGAACCGAAGTCAAATTCCCACCCTTAGGAAAGGAATCTCTACACTGCCAGTACTTAGTACAGGATTTGGCGCCCCAGGTTCAATGCTGGCTTCTTATTGGCCAGCAGTGACGCCACTCACGCAGGTGTGGCTTTCTTTGTTACGTTTCAGGCAGCGGTTGGTCAGAGTCCTGATAGAGAGGCGGGGGCGGAAGTGGGAAGCGGAAGGCCCTGGTGGGCGGGGGGGAAGTTGCTACAATGAGTCCTCTTCCGGCCAGAGGGACCGGAAGTTCTGGCTCGGCGGTGTCAACTTCGTCTCTCAAGAGTGGGAACGCGGCTGCCACCGCGACCATGGGCGGGAAGAACAAGCAGCGGACCAAAGGGAACCTGAGGGTGAGGCCTGGCAGGGCAGGCCCGCGGCCCGCTGCCCGCTGTCGAGAGGGCCGTGAGGGCGGCGTGTGACCTCCCCGAGTGTGCGTCCCCGCGGGTGGGCAGGTCGAGGAGTTAGGAGCCAAACGACGTTTCACGCCGGAGCTGTGCGTGTCAGGAGCGCGCACCGGGAGGTGTCACCGGGAAACAGTGTGAGGGTGCACCCGGGTGGCACCTGCCAGGTGTCTGAGGTTGATGTAGGAGCTGTGGGAAGAAGCCAACGTGGGCTTCATTTGCGCGGAAATGTACAGTGGCTTTCCAGGCCAAGGCCTGGGCCCTTAGATAATATGCCCGGTGTCAGGTCGCTGTCGCCCATTGGATGTCTGGCCTCAAGCTCACCCTGCTTCATCTTGGCCACCCTGAATTCGCCACGTCTTGGCCTGGCCTGGCAGTCTCCGGATGCCCATGTGTTAGGTGGCTCTGGACGCCTCAGTGCACCCTTCCTCCAGTATCAGTCTCCGTTTGTTGTAGCTACTTTCCGTGCTAACACTGCGTACCGTGTAATTTATATCTTGATTCATAAACATTGTAAAAGCAGGTGTTTTTCTGCTGCACCTATCCTAATGGAAAACACACACACACACACACACACACACACACACACACACACGCTGGTTTTAGCACAGTTTGGTTTTATAGAACTGTTCCACCATTTCATTAGATATCTTTAGTGATTTCACTATCAAAACCTAACAATTACAGTAGGTTAATTACCATGTTAATTGCTTCTCTTGAATTTTTGTCACAATAAAAACTTTATTCACTAAAAGGATAAGGTTATTAGAATTATAATCTGCAATTTGTTTCCTCTTTTCCTCTTCCCCTCTCTCTCCTTCTCTTTCTCTCCCTCCCTCTCCCCCTCTGCTTCTTCCCTCTGTCCCCCTGTCTCCTCCCTCTCATCCATCCCCCTCTTCTCTCTTTCCCCTCCCTCTCTCTTCTTCTCTCCCCCTCTCCCTCCCTCTCCTCCCTCTCCTCCCTCTCTGCCTCTTTCCCTCTCTTTCCCTCTCCCTCTTTTCCTCTCTGTCTTCCTTCCCCTCTCCCTCTCCCCCTCTCCCTCTCTATCCCCTCCTCCTCTCTCCCTCTCCCCCTCCTCCTGTCTCCCTCTTTCTCCCCTTTCCCCTTCTCTCCCCCTCTCTCCCTTTCCCTCTGTCTATCTCCCCCCCCTCTGTCTCCCTCTCTCTTCCTTTCCCTTTCTCTCCCCCTCCCCCCTCTCCCTCTCCTCTTTGCCCCCTCTCCTTTCCTCCCCCCAACCTAACTTTTTCTGAGACAGGGTTTATCTGTGTAGCCTTGGCTGTCCTGGACTCACTTTGTAGATCAGGCTGGCCTGCCTCTGCCTTCCTTCCCAGTGCTGGGATTTCAGGCATGTGCTACTGTGCTCTGCTGTTTTGTTGTTGTTGTTTTGTTTTGTTTTTATATTTTGAAACTGTTTCACTGTGTAGCTCAGCCTGGCCTGGAACTCAACTATGCAGATGACCAACAGGACTCACAGAGACCTACTTTCCACTGCCTTGAATGTATTGGGATTAAAGACTTGTGCCAAGCCCAGAAATTTCCATATTTACTTCCAGTTATCAGCTGTTAATATTTGTTCAGATTTCTCTTTTTTTTTCTTAATTTATAAATTTTGCTGACCCTTAGGAGAGTTAATTTCAGTATTTAACCTTGTGTATTCTAAATTCTCAACTTTATATACTCTGAAAACAATACCACAATGCCATTCTTCATATAAAATACAAAACTTTCACCATGGCGGAATACCCAAATACAACGTGCAGACTTGTAATTCACATTTTACTAACCTCTATATTTCTAATTCTATTATTATTATTACTATTATCATTTTGACTAGTCCTGGCTGTTCTGGAACTCTTTCACAGAGATATGTCTGCCTCAGCCTCCCAAATGCTGGGGTTAAAGGCATGAACCACCACAAATGGCTTAATGCTGTTTTTAGATAACAACATTTTGCAGGCATTTATAATAACATTTAAAAAGCATTTATGGTTCAGTCAAGTCTCACTCATTTCCTTTGGCTGCCATTATTTAAGCTTTTTGATTTAAATAGTTTCTTGTTTCCTGCTCCAAGGATGAGCTTGTCCTTTATATCATAATAACCAGGAAGAGTTGGCCATTGCTTTGATTTGTTTAGACTCATCTAATCGTTTCCTTATATCAATTCAAGTTAAGCCATTTCTTACCAGACTGCTTTGTATGATGCTGTTCTTAGTGTATCACACTAGAAGTGCACAATACTTCCCTTTCTCCCCCCTTGAGATAGGGTTTCTCTATGTAGCCTTACCTGTTCTGGGACTAGTTCTGTAGACCAAGCTGGCTGTTTTGGTTTTTTTGTTTTGTTTTTGTTTTTTTCTTTTTCTTTTTCTTTTCTTTCTTTTTTTTAATCAATGGCATTTGTTTAATGTTGACCATGGTAAAGTTATCTTTTTTTCCCCTTGGGTAATAACAAATATGTATTTATAGTCTGAAATTAAAGATACTTATCCCTGAAGATGCTTTGCGCCCTTAAACTTATTTATTTATTTTTATTTTATGGCCATTAGTGTTGTGCCTCTGTATATTTGTGTGAAGGTTTCTGAACTCTTGGAGCTGGAGTTACAAACAGTGGTGAACTGCCATGTGGGTGCTAGGAATTGAACCCGGGTCCTCTGGAAGAGCATCCAGTGCTCTCAACCACTGACCTATCTCTCCAGCCCCCTGAAGTTTAGTTTTTAAAATGTTACCTCTAGTGGGGAAGGTCAGAGGATAATTCTCAAGAGCCTATTCCTTAAGCCCTTTATGTGGATTCCCAGGCTGCAAGTCCAGATTGCCTGATGGTTTGCATAGCAAGTGCTTTTTACCCTGTGAGCCATCTTACTGGGCCTGGACTTGAACATAAAAAGTAGCATATGTTCAATAGAAAATAGTGCTGGGTGCCACATATATTTATAGATCATAGATATATGTCTAGTTTTATTGTTTTGTTTTGAGTTGGGATTTTGCTATGTAGTACAGCCTGGTCTGAGACTTTTTGTGTAGCCCAGGCTGGCCCCAAGCTTGTGATCTTGTTGCAGCCTCTTTAGTGCTGGAATCCCAGACTTGTGCAACTAAGATGGCTAACTACTGTTCTTTTTGTTTGTTTTGAGACTTGGTCCTATATATATCAAGCTGGACTGAGTCTGGCTCTACACCAAGATTCTCCCACCTCCCTTTCTAAATGCTGGGGAATGGGATTACAGGTTTGCACCACCACTCAGCTGATTGATGTCCCTCAATTGTTAAATACCTTGTTCTTTGGCTGGGGAGCACTGAGCTGCTAACAAGGAGACCTGGGGTTTCTGTCTTTCTAGGGTTAGGGTTACAAGCAACCACACCACACTTCTTTTTATGGGTTCTGGGGAACTTCATACTTGGGGGGGGGGGGGGGGGGCAAGTTTTTTAAAGGACTATTTTGTTACTCTTGCCCAGGTTTTTCTTTTTTTGGGGGGGGGGGGGTTTGCTTGTGAGACAGGGTTTCTTTGTAGTTCTGGCTGTTCTAGACCTTGCTTTTAGACCAGGCTGGCCTCCACCTCAAACTCAGAGATGCCTGCCTCTGCCTCCCCAGTGGTGTGTGCATCACCATCTGGCTTGCCCAGTGTCCTTTTTTTTTTTTTTTTTTTTTTTTTAAGTGCTTCTTATTATTTATTTCTGTATTGCATGAGCATGCTTGCCTATGTGCACTTGTTTGGAGATCAGAGGACATTCAGTTCTTGCCTTTCTCCATGTGGGTCCTAAGATGTAGCCTAGGTCCTCATGCTTGGCATAAGGTATACTTACCTTCTATGCCATTTTGTTTGGCCCTTAGGTTTGTAATTTTTATTTAAGTATAAGTATCTAACCTGCAAAGATCAGAATAGTAGTTGTGTATTATACCCACAGTAGACATTGAGTAAAAGTCACCGTTTGTACATTTAAGGAAATAGTTTCAAACGGGAGGCTGGGATTTGATACATTTTCTCTTGCTGCTAGTTATCACCATCAAATTGATGCTTCAGTTCTCAGTGCAGCCTTCAATGATTTAGTAGTAGGAGATTGTGTTTTGTGGCTTTTTTATTAGTTTTGTTTTGAAGATAGATTTTCTCTTTGCAGCCCTGACTGTCCCGGAACTCTTTTTGTCCTGGAATTCAGAGATCCACCTGCCTCTTCTCTTAGTTGATAGTGACTAAATTTTCTTTGCATAGTTCAAATATTTGTCTTTTCTCTAATAGCAGATCCCCTAACTTTTAGAACTAGAAGATTTGTATATTGTAAATATTAGTCAGTATATTGAAAGTAGTTCAAAACAGAATCAGTTTATTATTAATAATTAAAATTTTTATTGTTTGTTTTTTTTTTTTTTTTGAGACAGGGTTTTTCTGTGTAGCCTTGGCTGTCCTGGACTCACTTTTTAGACCAGGGTGGCCTTGAATTCACAGAGATCTGCCTGCCTCTGCCTCCTAGCCCACGGCTGGGATTATAGGTGTGTGCTTCTGTACCCGGCTAAATATTAACTTAAAGAAAAAGTACTTTTAATTAATGTATGTGTGAGAATGTGCTCTGATTCTTTTTTCCCCTTTTCTTTATCAGCCTTCAAACAGCGGCCGAGCTGCAGAACTCCTTGCCAAGGAGCAGGGAACAGTGACTGGATTTATTGGTTTTGGAACATCTCACAGTGACCTTGGCTATGTTCCTGCTATTCAAGGAGCTGAAGACATAGACAGTGTCGTAGATGCTGAATTCCGAATGGTGCTTCGGAAACTTTCTAAAAAAGATGTCATAACAAAATTAAAGGCAAGTTTCCCTGTTTTCACAAAAACGGTTAAGAATATAGTTTTCTTAGAATAAATTTAGATATCTTTGATGTAAAGAAAAATGTGCAGTAATTTGTTATTAATTCTTTTACAGTTGTAATTTTTTTTTTGACACGTACGTTTAGTTGACATTTATCTTTTGGGTTATAAATTAGTTTGGTGCTCTGAAAGATTTTGAGCCACATTTTACAACCTTGGCTATAGACTTACTCATGATAGAAGAATGTAATTTTTTTTTTTTAATTTTAGTTATTTTTAGAGTTTTGCCCTTGCTGTCCTGGAACTTACTATGTAGATCAGGCTGTCCTTAAATTTGTGGCAATTTTTGGCCTCTGCCTCCTGAGTGTTGGAATTAGAGATGTGAGCCACCATGCCTGGCTATTGTTATGTATGAATTTATGTATGTATGTATTTAAGTTTTTCGCCTTAATATATGGGCACTATGTCCATATGTGTGCCCAAGAGGCCAAGAGAAGTTGTTGGATCCTCTGGAACTGTAGTTAGGGCTGTGAGTCTTTATGTGGGTGCCTGGAACCAAACCTGGGTTACTTGAAGAGAAGCCGATGCTCTTAACTGCTGAGCTGTCCCCACACTATTCACACAATTTTTTTTATTTTTATTTTTATTTTTTTTGAGAGGCAGTGTTGTGATATTGATAAGCTACTCTGAGATTTATAGACATAAGTAGTCTTCCTCAGCCTTCAGGTAGCTGCTGCCCTACCCTTTTATTATTCATCCATTCATCCCCTTTTTCATTTATTTATTTATTTATTCATTTATTTATTTATTTATTTATTTATTTATTTGTCTATCTATCTATCTATTTATTTATTTATTGATTTTGGTTTTTGGAGGCAGGGTTTCTCTGTATAGCCCTGGTTGTCCTGGAACTCACTATGTAGACCAGGCTGGCCTTGAACTCAGAGATCTGTCTGCCCCTGCCTCCCAAGTGCCAATATTAAAGGCATGCACGGCTACCACTTGGCTTTGTTCTAAAAGTCAATGGTTAAGTTTCTGCTGTAGTAGATTTTGAAAAGATTTTTCATGTTTCCTTGTGGAATAGACAAAAATAATTCATTCTCCTTTTAAATAAAATAGACTAAGCTTCCAAAGCAAAAGAAAGAAAATTAGTGGGCAATGTGACATTTGTTAATTGTTTATGTTAAATATTTCCAGGCAATGCAAGAGTTTGGAACTATGTGCACAGAGAGAGACACGGAAGCTGTCAAAGGGGTTCTTCCATACTGGCCAAGAATCTTCTGCAAAATTTCCCTTGTAAGCATTAGAATTTATGAGCCTGTTTCTGCCTAACTGATTCATTTCTGGAGAAGATTTCCCTATTGTATTTGCTACAGAAGATTGAGAATGAATTTCTTATAGTTACTCAGTGTTTGAACCTATTTTGGATATAATCTCATTGGAAAGGGGGAGAAAGTGGGGATTATTTCACATAATTGCCGGTAACAAAACAATAAATTCTCTGTATTTCAAACCAAGTTTTTTCTTTTTCTTTTTTTGTTTCTTTGTTTCTTTCTTTCTCTCTCTCTCTTTTTCTTTCTCTTTCTTTCTCTTCTTTCTCTTTCTGTCTCTTTCTTTCTGTCTCTTTCTTTCTTTCTCTTTTTTCTTTCTCTTTTTCTTTCTTTCTCTTTCCCTCTTTCTCTCTTTCTTTCTCTCTCTCTTTCTCTTTCTTTTTCTTTCTCTCTCTCTTTCTCTCTTTTTCTCTTTCTCTTTCTCTCTTTCTCTCCTCTCTTTCTCTCTCTCTCTCTTTCATGGTTTGTAATTGAATTCAGGGCATTTTTTAATCTAAAACATATGTTCCAATACTGAGTTATTACTCTATCTTGTCAACAGCTAATATGAGTTTGATTATATACATAGACGATTTCCTGCTGTGAGTTACTATAAAATATTTACAAGTATTAGTATTGTTTTAGATCACATTTCTGTTTTTAACAGGATCATGATCGCCGGGTTCGAGAAGCTACACATCAAGCTTTTGAAAAACTCATCCTTAAAGTAAAAAAGCACTTAGCTCCATACTTAAGAAGTGTAATGGGACATTGGCTAATGGCTCAGTGTGATACATATCCACCAGCTGCAGTTGCAGCAAAAGATGCATTTGAAGCTGCTTTCCCTCCAAGCAAGCAACCTGAAGCTGTAGCGTTTTGTAAGGAAGAAATTACAAGTGTGAGTTTTTGGAATCATTCTGTCCCTGTGTTTCTGAGGTGTCCAAGGGTTCTCAGGCATCTGGTAACTCTTTTACCAAATGTGTAAAGAAGAAATAGACTGTGTCTCTTTTCTTAGATGCAATAGACATAAAAGATTTCTGTAGCCTCAAAATGTATAGAGGTGCTGGTGAGATGGCTCCTTGGCTACAGTGGTCACCAAGTGAGCCTAAGTCCCTGATTTTGTCCCTTACAACCCTCATAAAGGCAGAGAGAGCCTTCCCCTGACCTGCACGTGCACAGTATGTGCTCTCTGTGGGAAAAGGAAAGCATATCCTAATCTGTCTCCCAGTTGATTAGTTGGTCATTCCTCGGTACTACCGAAGTGAGAATAGTGAATGACAAGTAGCTGCAAGTATTTAGCGGAAAAGTTCTCTTGATGGGAATTGGAGCCGTCCTAAAATACCATTTTTACCTCAGTAGCAGCCAATGTAGGGGATAGGTAGAAAGAGAGAAACGGGCAAAATACAAACATGTTAGCTTTGATGTATGAAATGGATAGGTAGGTTGAGGATATGGGAATTTTTAAAACATGATTTTTCCCTATATCTGATTACTACAGACAGTTCCTTTGTTTTGTTGGTTTTCTTCTTCAGGTACTACAAGATCATATTCTAAAAGAAACTCCTGATACACTCAGTGACCCTCAGTAAGTTACATTGTTTCTAAGTAACTAACACTAGTTACTTACTTCCTTGGTTGCCCTGTGTGATTTCAGTGTGACATATTTTGAGAATGAATTCCAAATGCAGATGAAATTATTTCAGAGTATGCTACATGGTGCCTGTCTGAACTTTGGCTGGTTGTTAAATGTAAATTTTCTGAGATACATATGTAATTGTATTAGAATTTTAGGTGTTTTTTTTTTTTTTTTTTTTTTTTTTTTTTTTTTTTTTTTTTTTTTTTGGTATGTTTGTTTTTTTGTTTTAGTTTTCAAGACAGGATTTCCTCTCTTTGTAGCCCTCGTTGTCCTAGAACCCACTCTGGAGACCAGGCTGGCCTCAAATACAGATAGATCCATCTACCTCTGCCTCCCTGGTGCTGGGATTAAAGGTATGCACCGCCACCTTCTGCTTTGTTGTTTGGTTTTTTGTTTTTGTTTTTTGGGTTGTTTGTTTGTTTGTTTTATTAATCTTTTGGCAGTCACAGCCACAGAATTATTTTAAGGTCTGGTATACTTGAAGATGTTATTAAATAATTGTGTAAAAAGAGTAGTAAAATTTTTCCTTACCTTTACTGTTATATTGAAACCAAACTGTTAAGACTCAATCAAGGAAATTAGTCAGATGCCTTATCACCATTCCTCAAATTGTCTAGTACATGTTGCTGAGAGAACATTATACTTGTTTACTTACTCCATACTATTAGCTTTGCATTTGCTTTCTCCTTGGTTACTTGAAAAATGTGTGGTTAAAATTCTCCTTGTGGGCCAGCCAGATGGCTCAGTGGTAAATGCACTTGCTATCAGTTCTCACAGCCTGATATCAGTCCTTAGGCCCTGCATGGTGGAAGGAGAGAAAGCACTCCATCAGTTCGTCCTCTGATTCCAGCTTACACGCACAAACATACACATGCAGACAAGCACGCACCCATGCACATACGAATACACACCATGGCATAGACACATAGGTACTCATCCTAAATAAGTCTGAGAAAACATTCTGTGTGTGCTTACATTTTGAAAGGTGTTTGCAGACAGGAAAAAGGTACAGAAAATAAGGTAGCTGGTGGAAGTTTTAAAAAACATTTAATATAAAGATGCCAAATATGTAGTTTGGCTTCTTTGCACTCTAACATTTATTTTTCAAATCCAGAACTGTTCCAGAGGAAGAGCGAGAGGCCAAATTCCATCGAGTTGTGACGTGCTCCTTATTGGCACTGAAGAAGGTGCTTTGCTTCTTACCTAACAATGAGCTCGAGGCTCTGGAGGAGAAATTTAAATCACTTTTATCACAGAATAAGTTTTGGAAGTACGGAAAACACAGTGTACCTCAGGTATCATAATGGTTTTTATTTTAAAACTTTTCTGTAACTTCCCCTGATTTTGCTGTATTTATGCTCATGTTTATTTTTTATGTTTAAAATCATGCAGGCACATCTCTGTGGTTGGTCTTTCAGGATGTACTTGTCTTTCTTAGACTTGTAATCTATTTTTACTTCTCTGTTGCTGTTAAGCATTGAACTGACATACATGCTCTGCTAGGCCTGTATTTTCACTTTTGGGCCTCTGTCTCCTGAGGGATGGCATGTGCCATTACTACCAGCTCTCTGTACGTTTTCTTTTTTGTTTGTTTTTATTGTTTTCCAAACAGGGTTTCTCTGTGTAATAGACCAGCCTGGCCTGGAGCTCACAGAGTTCAAGCTGCATCTGCCTCCCAAGTGCCGGTATCAAAGGTGTGCATCACCACACCTGGCGCTTTACATTTTCTTAATTTCAGTATGATATGTTCTGGTATGAAGTTTGTTTCACACATTCATGTGTCTAGCTTACAATTTATTAGAATTCTTAAATCTGTGGGTTGGGATATTTAATTGCCTCCTAAATTCTCAGATATTGCCTCCAGTTATTTCTTTTATTTCATTCTTCTTCTTTGGTGTTGTAATTAATTATAGATTAGATCTGTAGTCTATCATATATATCTCATGTGTTTTTCACAGTTTTTTCTCTGTGCTGCTTTTAGATAGTTTCTTTTATTCAGTCTTCCACTTCACTGATTGTGTTTAATCTGCTTGTTTTAGCCCATCCATACTACTCAAACGAAATTACTAAATCCGGATAAGTCATAAAAGTAGAAATATATATCTCCCAGTTACAGAGGCCAGCTAAGTATTGATGGAGGAGCTGAAGATAGCTCAGTGGTTTGGGCTTTTGCTGCTGCTGCAGAGGATCTGAGTTCAGTTTCCATCACCCACACAGCATATAACCTTGGGCAACTCCAGTTGTAGGGGCTGAAACAACTTCTTAGAACCTCCACCCTTAGCTTTGGCCTCTGCTCTTGCCTCTACAGGCATCAGGCATGCACATGGTACACATGTAAGTGCAGGCAAAAACACTTATGCTATATAATAAACTATTCAAAAAATATTTTTATCCTACTCGATGCATATTTTATCAGATCTTCAATTACGGAATATTTTTTCAAAAATGTGTTTATGCTTCAAAGATGGGTTCTTCTCACTGCATCCTCTTATGTTGGAAGACTTGAAAGGGCAAACTTGCTCCCTCAAACCCTTTTGTGTAGTTGTGTAGTTTCTTACTGCACTGTTTACCTGCTTTTTTGTTTTTTTGTTTTGTTGTTGTTCTGTTATTTGAGACAGCCTCACCATATAATTCTTGGAACTAGCACTGTAGACCAGCTAGGCTACCTTTAAACTCACAGAGATCTACCTGCCTCTGCATCCTAAGTGCTGGGACTAAAGTCATTTGCCAATATGCTGAGCTTCCTTTTGTTACGTATTAATTGTCTTTATTAATGTGATATGTTCATTACCTAATAATTATTTCCACACAGCAATTAAGTTTCAGCATGTCAACTGAGTTGGTTGGAAAACATTAAATGTACCACTACCTTTGAGCTTTACATTTAAATTTATTAGATTAATACATTTTTGCTTTAGGAAATATGCTTCTTTTTTAGATCTATGGTCTGTTATCCTGAAAATGGATAGAATGCTTTTTGTTGTTGTTTGTTTTTTTGAGACAGATTTTCTGTGTATAGCCCTGGATATCCTGGAATCTGCTCTGTAGACCAGGCTGGATGAACTCAGAGATCCTTCTGCTTCTCCTTCTTGGATGCTGGTAGTAAAGGTGTGTGCCACCATTGTCCAGCAAAAATTTAGTTTCTTTAGATAAGCACTGTTATGAAGTTTGTGGATGATTAACTTATCTTGTATTGCTATGCTTGCTTTTCTCTGTTCGTTGTAGCTAATGTTATATTTTATATTTGCTTGGATATATAAGAAACCCCTCTGTTATTAAGTACAATTTGTGTTAAAAATTATATTCTTTTAGCCTTTTTTTTGTCTTGGTGGTTCTGAATATCTTTTCAGATGGTTAATTTTTTTTTTTTTTTCGAGACAGGGTTTCTCTGTGTAGCCTTGTCTGTCCTGGACTTACTTTGTAGACCAGGCTGGCCTCTAACTCATAAAGATCCTCCTGCTTCTGCCTCCTTGAGTGCTGGGATTACAGGTGTGCACAGCTGTGCCCGGCTAGGCTGTTACTCTTTAATACTTAATTATCTGGACAGGCAGTTGTGCGTAGTCGTCACCTGCTGCCATCATTAGTTGTGTCATGCATCAGCAGGGTTTAATTTAATTCCACTTTCCGTTTCTTTTAGGTCCGCTCAGCATATTTTGAGTTAGTTTCTGCTTTGTGCCAACATGTTCCTCAGGTGATGAAACAGGAAGCTTCCAAAGTGAGTTCATCTGTACTGCTTAGTATTGATGACAGCGACCCTGTTGTCTGCCCATCTCTCTGGGAAGCTGTGCTCTACACACTGACAACTATTGAGGTATGGAAGGAAGGCATACTTCCCTAAATGCCATATGAGAGAGATCAACACTTTGTCCTATAATAAAACTCATTGGAAATAATGCTAAACAAATTAACTAAACATGTTGAACTGGCCAATAAAATGGCATACATCTTATATTCCCTTTCCTACTCCCTTTTTTCTTCCTTGCCTTCCCTCCCCCCTTTCTCTCTTTCTTTCTTTACTTTCTTTCTCTTTCTCTCTGTTTCTTTTTCACTCTCCCCCTCTCTCTCCCTCTCTCTTTTTCTTTCTTGTCTTTCTTTCTTAGAGACTTGGAACATACTCTGTAGACCAGGCTGGACTCTTACTCAGAGCGATCCACCTGTGTCCGCCTCCAGCTTGCTGGGATCAAAGAATTTCTGAATCAGAAATATGTTTATTTCTTTAAGAAAGTGGCTTCTGTAGGAATATTTCAAGTAATTTTAGAACAACAAATACATTATTATTAAAAATAACACATTTAATTTTTCAAGGGTTTTGGTTTTTAACAGAGGGTTTATCTGTGTAGCTGTGCCCTGTGTACCAGGCTGGCCTTGAATTCAGCAATCTGTCTGCCTCTGCCTTCCAAGTGTTGGGATTAAAGGCGTGTGCCACCACTGTCCAGCTCTTTTCTTTCTTTTTTTCTTTTAATTTTTCAAAGTTTTATTTTAATTTAGTTAAAGACTTTAATGTCTTGCTAGTTAAATTATTTAATTTAAATAAAAAAATATTTTTAAGGTAGGCCCTTCCTATGTCACTCTGGCTGTCTTGGAACTTATATTTAGACCAGACTGGCCTTGAACCCATAGAAACCCAGCTTCTTGGGTGCTGGAATTAATGTGTCCCACCATATCTGGCTTTTTTTTTTTTTTTTTAGTTTTTAGTTATTTTTCTTTGGAGGCTGAGTCTTGCTATATAGCAATATATAGTAATATGTACAGCTATATAGCCTCATAAGTGCTGGCCATACATGTGTCCGCTACCGTTCTCAGCTTGATTTTCTTTTGTCTTTTTTTTTCTTTTAATTTGATTTTTATTTTTGAGATTTGTTTTCTTTTGAGAAGCATGCTTATAATTTTTAATTACTATTGTAATTTTTGTTATTGTTTTTGTTATTAGGACTGTTGGCTTCATGTAAATGCAAAAAAAAGTGTGTTTCCCAAGTTGATGGCTATGGTGCGTGAAGGTGGCCGGGGTCTAGCTGCTGTCATATATCCTTATCTTTTACCGTTTGTCAGCAAACTTCCCCAGTACATTACAGAGCCAAAGCTGGACTTCTTCAAAAATTTTCTCACCTCTCTAGTTACTGGGTAAGCAATTATATTTTTTAACTTTAAAAAAATGACATTTATTTCTTTATTATGTGTGTCATGGTGTGTGTATGCATGTGCACACACGTGTGTGTGCCTGTGTGTCATGGTGTATGTATGAAGTTAGCGTGCAGGTTGCAGAACCTCTTTTGTCTTTCCATTGTGTATGTCCTAGGAATTGAACTCTGGCACTCCGGCTTTCTGACAAGTGCTGTTAACCCCACTGGGCCATCTTGTCAGCCTCTATTCTGATTTTAAAAGCAAAGGAATTTCTCTTGTTTTTATTCTCATAGCTTTCCTTCTTATTTGAATTTCATCATTTTTTTCTTCTGTTTGCTAAGCACTTAAAGCTTTCTGAGAAATAGGAAAGAGGAAGCAGGGCAGAATGGTGCCTGAGCCTCAGCTTTAGCCTCTTAGATGGCTAGGATTATAGGACATGGACTGACAGCCAACTCACTTCTTTCTTTGAAAACTGTCAAAGCTTTTGTGGTAGTATCCAGTACAAAGATAAATACAGTGAAGTGCCTAGACAGAAATAGATCATCTTCTCAATGAGTCATGGTATTTTTATATTGATAAATGTAGATGCCCAAATCCAGAAAATAAGCTAGATTTTTTTTTTTTTTAATATTTTTAAATATTGTTTTTTGGGTTTTTTTTTTTGTTTGTTTGTTTTTTGTTTTTTTTTTTTTTTTTTTTTTTTTTTTTTTTTTTTTTTTTTTTTTTTGGCTTTTGAGACAGGGTTTCCTGTCCTGGACTCACTTTGTAGACCAGGCTGCCCTCAAACTCACAGCGATCTGCCTGCCTCTTCCTCCCTGAGTGCTGGGATTAAAGGCCATTCGCTTATAAGCTAGTTTTTAAATGTTCACAACAATTACATGTTAGAGCTGTTTAAGGACCAGTGATAAAGCTTACCTGCCTTATAAGCATGTGCAAGGTCCCAGGTCCCATGCCCAAGTACCAAAAAAAGTTACTTCTATTTAACACTTTAAAAAGTTCATGGTATATACTCATTCATAAGTGGATATTAGACATATATTATAGGATAAACATACTAAAATCTGTACACTTAAAGAAGATAAGCATGAAGGAGGACCCTGGATAAGATGCTTAATCCTCATTCAGAAAGGCAAACAGGATAGACATTGGAAGAGGGAGAAAACAGGGAACAGGACGGGAGCCTACCACAGAGGGCCTCTGAAAGACTCTACCCTGCAGGGTATTAAAGCAGATGCTGAGACTCATAGCCAAACTTTGGGCAGAGTGCAGGGAATCTTATGAAAGAATCAGGAGATAGACCTGGAGAGGGCAGGAGCTCCACAAGGAGAGCAACGAGAACCAAAAATATCTGGGCCCAGGGGTCTTTTCTGAGACTGATACTCCAACCAAGGACTATTTATGGAGATAACCTAGAACCCCTGCAAGATGTAACCCATGGCAGGTCAGTGTCCAAGTGGGTTTCCTAGTATGGGGTACAAGGACTATCTCTGATATGAACTCAGTGGCTGGCTCTCTGACCACCTCCCCCTGAGGAGGGAGCAGCCATACCAGGCCACAGAGGAAGACAATGCAGCCAGTCCTGATGAGACCTGATAGTCTAGGGAGGGGAAGAGGTCCTCCCCTATCCGTAGACTTGGGGAGCAGCATGGGAGGAGAAGAGGGAGGGAAGATGGGATTGGGAGGGGACAAGGAAGAAGGGGTCTACAGCTGGGATGCAAAGTGAGTAAATTGTAATAAGTAAATAAACAAAAAGGAAAAAAAAATTTAAAAAGTTCACCTTATTTTGTTTAATAAAATGTATATTTTTATAATTATTTTGTACTATTTTCACATTTTAAATATCACAGTCTCTCTGCTTGTGTTTCATCTTTCATATTTATATATGGATTGATGCATAAACAGGAAATATGTTGTCTTAACCTAGGTTTGAAATCAAATTTTTTTCCTTTTTATAGTTCTTGACATTTACATTATCATCAATTATAATATTTTAGTTGCTGTTATTTTTTAGTTTTAATAATTTGGTTTTGAATCTTTAGTGTGATACCTTTTTAATGTCTTTAGTGATTCTAAGTTCTTTTCATTTAAATTTTATTTTTGTTTGTTTAATGTATGAGTGCTCTATCTGCATGTACACATGCATGCCAGAAATGTGCATCAGATCACATTATAGATGCTTGTGAGCCACCACGTGGTTGCTGGGAATTGAACTCAGGATCTCTGGAAGGGCAGAGCAGTGTTCTTAACTGCTGAGCCATTTCTCCAGCCCCAATTTTAAGTTCTTAATTTCTTTTTTCTTGGAAGAATAATCCACAGTTATTATTTCTCAGGCTGTCAACAGAGAAAACCAAAGCAAACTATTCTGAGTGTTCAGCTATCATCTCTGCGTTTTTTGAATGTTTACGATTTATAATGCAACAAAACTTAGGCGAGGAGGATATGGAGCAGATGCTCATCAATGAGCAGGTACGTTTGCAGACCACCTGTGCTTTGCACCCGGAGGAAAGCTTCTAGATCAGTATCTTCTTGAAGGTTTTTGGTAGTTTTTGGTAGCCTTCTGTATAAGGATTTCACTTTAATAGTTGCACATTGAGTGGTGTATTTCTGACCATATAAGTAAAAATTCTGTACTTTCAGTTGCTATTGTACTATCCATAGACTAATTTACCATGTCCTGTCTCTGGATTTAAATTTCTGACTGCTGTAGAGAGACAGTGTAAAACAGAATTTGCATGGTGCTTTTGGTGATATGTAGTGTAGGTTTCAATTATTTAGTAGTCTTGATATTTCTAAAATGCTCAGTTGCATTTACCCCTTTATATGAACACTTGTATTTGACTGTGATCATCATATGAACAGGTTCTCTATCTCTCTCTCTGTTTTGTTTTTCAAGACAGAGCTTCTTTGTGCATCCCTGGCTATCCTGGAACTAGCTCTATAGCCCTGGCTGGCCTTGAACTCAAAAAGATCTGCCTGCCTCTGCTGTGCTGGGGTTAAAGGAGTGGGCCTCTGCCTCCCAGCTCTCTCTTGGATTTTTAAAAGATTTTATGTCTATCTGTGGGGTATGGCTCTATGCATGTGTGTGTAGGCACCTGATGAGTCTAGATGAATAATTCGAATCCCCTGCAGCTGCAGTTAGAGGTACAGTGCTGGGAACTGAACTCCAGTCATCCACAAAAACAGTACATGCTCTTAACTGCTGAGTCATCTTTCTAGCCCCATTACCATCTCTTACCTTCCTTCCTTTTCTCTCTCTCTCTCTCTACCCCTGGTTGTCCTGGAACTCACTCTGTAGACCAGGCTGGCCTTGAATTCAAGATCTATCTTTTACCTTTCTAATTCAGGAAAGGTGCTTTTTGATGCTTAAATGCCTGTTATCTTCCCAATAGCTTACAGTCTATTTCTTTATTATTTAGACAAGGTCTTATATAGCCCAGCCTAGCCATCAGCTTCCTTGTAGCCAAGGATGACACTGGCCTCCTGATCCTTTTGTGCACACTTCCCAAGGGCTGAAATTATGGGCATACATCACCTCACCTGGCAGCCGCTAGTCCTGTATGTTTTTTGTATCTTTTAATTAAGTGGGGAAAATGCAAAAACTGATTGAGCTTAGAAGATACGAAGAAAACTGGATTATAAATTATGGTTGATTACATCATAAAATTAATTGAGGTGGAATATAGTAAAATTGTCAACCTTTTTGAATGATCGGAAAATATTTGAGTTAACTGTTTTCAGAGATCTGACAGGAAAACAAAAGATGGGGAAGAGGAGGGAGGTATGTGTATGTTTAAGTGCGTGTGAATGCCAAAGGACAATTTCGTGGGTTATTTCTCAGGACTCCTCTCTTCTTGCTTTTTGAAGCAGGATTGAAATGTACAGGTCTGGGTAGGTTGTCTGGCCAGTGAACCCAGGGATCTGCCAGTTTTTTGTTTTGTTTTGTTCTGTTTTGCTCCTTTTTTTTTTTTTCTTTAATATGTATTTAGGGGATTGAAGTGAGGTGTCCTCATCCTGGCTTGGCAAGCACTTTGCTGACTGAGCCATCTCCCTGGCCTTCAAATAAGAGGCTTTATGCTGTTTTTAACATTGTTTAAATTCCTTGAAAATTGAAATTAAAAGTTTTTACCTTCTCTTTCAGTTGATCCCATTTATTGATAGAATTCTCAAAGACCCAGGATTGCAACATGAGTCAATGTTTAACCATTTAGCAGAAACATTAAGTTCTTGGGAAACCAAAGCAGATGGAGAAAAAGAGGCTGAAACGGATTACAACTTGGAGAATGTTCTGCTAAATTTCTGGGAAAGACTGTCAGAGATCTGTGTGGAGAAAATCAGTGAGCCAGATGGGGTTCTGAGGTCTGTTTTGAGCGTGTCTAACCTAGTGGGGGTCCTTCAGAAGCCAAGGAGCTCATTGAAGTCAAACAGAAAGAAATGTGGCAAGGTCAGGTTTGCTGATGATACACCTGAAGTTAATAAGGAGAGTGAAAAATGCATGTCTTCAGGAGGAGAGAACAGTGAAGGCGCTGAAGGAGTGACAGAATCTCACAATTCTTTAGACCTTGTGTCTCCTTTAAGGAAGAAATATCTGGAAGACTTAGTGTGTAAGCTTGCAGAGGTGAGCATTGACTTTGTCAATGAGCAGAAGTCAGAGCAACACATGCACTTTCTCTCTACACTGCTCGATTCCTTCTCCTCAGGCCAAGTATTTAAAATTCTCCTCGGTGACGATCAGAAGAATATTGACAAACTCAAATCTCTGGAACTAGCCCAACTTGTACAAAAAAATCCTGCAGTGCAGTTCTTATATCAGAAACTGGTAGGCTGGCTAAATGAGAGCCAGAAGAAGGATGGGGCCTTCCTGGTGGACATGTTGTATAGTGCCCTCCGATGCTGTGACAATGATGTGGAAAGGAAAGATATCTTGGATGATTTAACCAAGGTATTACTTCATATGTCTTTTACAAACATTTTTGTGATGCATGATAAGAATAAACCTGTATGGATGCTGGTTTTGGATTACTTACTTGACTCTGAATATCAGTTTAAAGACAATATGCTCTTCACTGATTTGGGAAGTACTGATTAATTCCACAGTGACAAAAGGTTGGTAACTAAAGTGCATTTTTTAGTCTCTTTAAAGCTGGACTGCCTAAAGTGATGTAGTTTTGTTTTGGATGTGCAGAGCTTCAGTTATGTTTTTAAAGTGTTCCTATTAGTCCTTTAACTTTCTAACTCTTTTCTTCTTTCAGGAGGACCTGAAATGGAGTTCTCTTCTTCAGATCATTGAAAAGGTATTTTAAGCATCCCCCACCTCCTTTTTTTTTTTTTTTTTTTCCTTTTTTTGGTTTTGTGTGTGGATATAGACAAATTAAAACCACAGTCCTATTTTTATACTGACTGTGGTCAAGTGTCTGATACAGCACATCTTCATTATTTTAAATTCTAATGAGAAACTGACTCTGAAGAGTCCAGCTTGTTGTTTAGGAGGAGATACAGACAGCATTGTGTTGTCTTCTAATTGAGGCTACAAAGCTCTGCTTATTGTGTTCTATAGAAGTGAAGTGAATGGTTCTAGCTCTGAAGAGAACACATCTGGAAGATCTTTTCTAGGTGGAGAACCATGCAGGGTGTGAAAATGTCTTAGCCCTGTACAGTTTGCCACTTGATTAAGTGAGAAAACTGATAATAAAAGTAATGAGACGTGTCGGGTGAGGTGGCACAGGCCGGTAATCCCAGCACGTGGAAGGCAGAGGCAGCCAGATAGCTGTGAGTTCGAGGCCAGCCTGCTCTACAAAGTGAGTCCAGAACAACCAAAAAAAAAAAGTAATGAGATGAGATCAAAGGATGAAATTAACTTGGAATTTTTTAAAAAATGGCTTTAGTATTATTTCCTAATGATAATTTAAATGACAACCAAATTTTCAAACGTAGATGCTTGTGGTCAGCTACTTAGGAGACTTCCTCTTAGAGCATATTTTACTAATTTTTCTACTCTATGTGAGTTTATGTTTTTTTAAAAATTGTAGTGAAATATACAAGACAAAACTATCGTAACATTTCTTTTCTTTTTTCCTCTTTGCTATGTTGGGGATTGAACCCAAAGCCTCCCACATGCTTTTCAAGCATTGAGCTATGTTTCAGTCCCACTGTGGTTTTTTTTGTACAGTTCGGTGATGATTAAATATAGTTACATTGTTGTTTAATTTTCACAAACTTTCTTATTTTGTGAAACTACTTCATGGTCGTTAGCCTAACTCAGAGGTAGAGCACTTTCCAAGTATGTTGGAGGCCCTGGGTTTGATTCTTAGCACTATTAAAAAAAAAAAACTTTTTAAATTATGTTCATATAATTCCCCATTTCATCAATTTATCAATTTTTTTTTTACCTTTTACTGAATGTAAGTGCAAAGTATTTTTTAATGTTTATTGAGATTATAACTTGCAAGCAAGCCATTTACATTAATTTAGTAGTTTGTAAGCAAGCAACATGAAGAGCTGGATTAGCTGGGTGATGAGCCTTGAATCAGGACAGGGAGAGTCAGTAATTACTAAGAGTAAACTGATAGGGGCCCAGTGGGTAAAGGTAATGACCTGAGTTTGATCCTAGGGACCCACTTGGTAGGACAGAACCAGTTCTTGCAGTTTGTCCTATGATCTCCACACCTGTGCCATAAGTTGTGTGTCCACATACATACAATGTCCATGCATGCACACATGCACTTGGGCACATGCGTGCACACACACATGCACACGTGCATGTACACGCACATATACACCACAAATGTAATTCTTAAAAACTAAGAAAAGACACAGTAAATGAATATCCACCTGCTTGAAATCATTTGTATCTGCCTGGTCATCCAGTTGCTTGTGTCTGTGCAGAAGAACATCTTCCTGTGCGGTGTTTGTAAGGCCCCCTTCACTGGGCTCCTGGGACTCCTAGCTGCCCTGGCTTCTTACTGCTGCAGAGAGTCTTTCACTAGCTGTGTTAGTGCATTGAGACCCTGTCTCAGTAACTTGAGAGACATTTTACTCTGACATTTATTTTTTCTATCAGGAGAGAAACTTGCAGTTTCTGAAGATTAAGCCTGTTGCTTTACAAATTAGGAAGTAGGCCCAGATTGGTTGAGAGATTTGTCAAACATCATAAGGCTAGTTAAATGATAAGGCTTAGATTGAAATGTAAGCTCTGATTGTCTGTAAATTTTTAACATAAAAGATAAGCAGTTTTTAGCCACTACCCAATGTGCACTTGGGTTTTCTTTTTTCCAGATTGCTTTGAAATGAATCAAGTTGCAAATTCCTTTCTTCTCAGCCTTTAAGCAAAAGAAGCTCTGGGAACATGGATCAGCATGGTTTTGGGGGTGGATTTACAAGTTTTTTTTTTTGGTTTTTTGTTTTTTTTTTTTTCCTCTTCCCCACTCAACAAAAATAAAAAAGTTATCATTAGATACTTGGCCCTAGGCACTCTATTTCAGAGACTCTGGAGAAATAAACCCCACTGTTAATATTGAAGTCATTGGCCATTATATATTAATTGTTCTTTAATTTTAGAAAAATTAATGAACAAAAATGTACTATTAAGAGGCCATTTATGAATCTATCTTCAGAGTTCATTCATTGTTCATTGAACATATCAGGGTTGGTGGCAGGTATCGAAGTTTAAAACCGTCTGCTTCCAAGGAACCCACAGTCTCATTGGAAAGACAAGATACTAGAATGGATGGAGAGATATTGAGAAAACAGATAGGATTTGTACAGATTTTCAAAGAATAAGTGGGATTTTGATATATGGGAATATGCGTGGTTGGAGGATAACATAACAAAGCATGGGAATGATCATCATCAGCGTTCCTGGGGAGTAGGAAGGTAGTGGTCTTCCCAGAGCATGGGAAGGAGGAAGAGCAGTGGGGACAGTTAGGACCACATGATGAAGGGAGCCAATGGGAGCCACATAATAATCTGGATACATCTTTTGATCTTGCTTCTAATCTTTACTCTTATGGTTTTTAGGCATGCTCTAATTCAGATAAACATGCTTTAGTAACTCCCTGGCTAAAAGGCAGTATTCTTGGAGAGAAATTGGTTACCTTGGCAGACTGTCTTTGTGGTAAGGACTTGGAATCTACAGGATCTCCCGAATCTCACTCCTCAGAACAATGGACTCTGCTAAGACTGGCAATATCCCAACATGTTAAAAATGGTAGGGATCACAACTTCTGTCTTATAGCGGGGTTGATAGTCCTTTCTACCTCCTGGGGGATTCCTTATTTTCAGTCCGAACATTGTTGGTTGAGATAAGGGATGTTTTCTATAATACCTTACATTTCTTATAAGTACTGTGTTTGTTACATGTTGTGACTTGAAAGATATATAGTATTAATTTTGATTTAAAAATTTTTGAACATAACAGCTCACTCTTGAATTTTATACGTATTGCTGGGTTTTACCTTAAAATTGATTTTTAAACTTGAGGGCTCTTACATATGAGAGGGCAGATTGAGTTTTTAAATATTTTTTGTTGTTTAATATATACATATATGGCTTCAAAAATATAAAACATCAGAAAGATCTACATGATTGCTAGTAAAGGGTTAGATATTTCAAAATGTATTGTTAATACTCTTTACATTTGCCTGTTTGGATTTTTTTTTTTTCCTGTAGATTACTTGATTGGAGAAATGTATGTTGGAAGAATTATTGCTAAACTTCATGAAACTTTATCCAAAACAGAAGACTTGTCAGAAGCTGAGAACAGTGACTCCTCAGTGTCTTTTGTTTGTGATGTGGCCCATAGCTACTTCAGCTCAGCAGGAAGAGGCTTACTAATGCCACCAGCTGAAGACTTGATGTTAACTCTCTTTCAGTTATGCGCTCAGAGCAATGAGCGAAATCACTTGCCAGGTAATAGCCTACTGCTCAAATGTTTTATTGGGAATTTTTGGCTCTGACTTCGTAGTGAGTATAAGTGCCCAGGCTTTATTAATTGAATTGTAATGTGTTTGTTAGTTTAAAGAACTTTGAGAAAATAGCACCGCCATGTTTTCAGTTCTAAAAACCAAGATAAAAAATTTCTAAAGTGCATGCTTCTTATCAAGGAACCAGTGTGCAAGGGGCCATACTCAATGATTTAGAATCTTCACCTCTTCATTCAGTAGCACTAATAGGCTATTTTATTTCTTTTAGAATTATATTTATTTATTTTGTGTGTGTGTACAGGTATGTGTGAGCATTTGTGGTTCATGAGTGTTTGCCATTGTGATTGTGTGGAAGTCAGAGGACAACTTGCAGGAGTTGGTTCCCTCCTTCTACCACATGGCTGTCAGGGATAGAACTTAGGTACTTAGTCTTAGGGCCAACACCTTTATCTGCTGAAGACATTACCAGCCAGGTACCTCACCTTTTTCCTTTTCCTTTCCTTTCTTTTCTTTTCCTGTCCTGTCCTGTCCTTTCCTCCACCTTTTCTTTCTTCTTCTTCTTCTTCTTTTTTTTTTTAAAGATTTATTTATTTATTTATTTTAGGTATGTGAGTGCTCTATCAGCATGCCAGAAGAGGGCATCAGATCCCAGTATAGATGGTTGTGAGCCATCATGTTGATACTGGGAATTGAACTCAGGACCTTTGGAAGAGCAGACAGTGCACTTAACCTCTGAGCCATCTCTCCAGCCTCTCTTCTTGGTTTTTGTTTGTTATTTTGTTTGTTTGTTGTTTTTTTGAGACAGAGTCTCACTTGTGGACCTCAGTATGTATACCAGACTGGCTTTGAACTCAGATTTACTTGCCTCTGCCTCGCCAGTGCTGGGATTAAAGGTGTGCACTACCATGCCTACTGTACCTCATTTCTTATTGACTCAATTTCCTTACTTATGAAGGGATTATGATGGTGATAAATCTTTTTATTATAGTAAAAGTTATTGATTTTTTATTTTTTTTTTTACAATTTATTTTATTAGTTCTTTGAGAATTAGGCACATGCATACAATGTATTTTCATCATATTCACCCCACTCCTCACCCTAACTTTTCGCGGATGCACACCCACCCTGTTCTCATAGATCACTGGAATTCACTTTTAAGATTTATTTATTTTATAGCATTCTGCCTGCATGTGTACCTGAACACCAGAAGAGGGCACCAGATTTTACTATAGAAGGTTGAGCCATCATGTGGTTGCTGGGAATTGAACTCAGGACCCTTGGAGGAACAGACAGTGTTCTTAACCTCTGAGCCATCTCTCCAGCTCCCAAGTTATTGATTCTTGATGTATGAAAAATGAAATTGAGATTGCCTTGTAAGGACTAAACTTTTGCCCTCTGTATTCAAGTTTATCCGGGAAAGGAACATAAAAATAATATTGATGAGGCCGGGCATGGTAGTGCATGCCTTTAATTCTAGCACAAGGAGGCTCAGACAGGAGATCTATGAGTTCACATAGTGAGCTCCAGGCCAGCCAGGGTTACCCAAGGAGACCCTGTTTTTTACAAAAACAGTAAAAATCTTACAGATGCAAGTTCTCTTCCTCTAACCCTGTCTTTAATACTTACTTTTCTGTTAGGAAAGATAACTTGTATGTCTCAAAGAACAGTGACTTTTGGTAAAGAAGCTCAGGGTAGGGAAAACAGCTACCTTGTCATTCATAGTCTTACGGTACAAACTAGATTGTGTTGTTTCATGAATATGGCAGTTATTTTCTTTTATTTATGAGAGTTTAATTTTGTATTTTGTTTTAAAATAACATTTTAAAGATCTCAGCAAATTTGTTTCAGATGTTTTGTACTGATAAGAGTTTATTCAGTGAGATTACAAATTATTGATAATACCTTGGTTTTTAGATTTTCTGATCTGTAAACTGAAAAATACTTTGCTCTCTGCCATAAATTTATTGGTCCATCAAACTGCAAGTACCTATGAGAGCACCTTCCTACGTTTGTCTGTTCTGTGGCTGAAGGACCAGGTTCAGTCTTCAGCTTTGGATAATACAAGGTAACCTTTTGTGTACAGTTGCACAGTGTCCCTTGTGTAAGATCTCATTCTGGCTGTAATAGTGCATGTCCGTGTTCCTAGCACTCAGAAGCATCATAAGCTGAGGCCATTCTGGACTACATAGTGAAAGCCAGCCTTAAAAAAAAAAAAAAGGTCATGGATAAGTGTGAGTTCCAATCTGTGTAAGAGTCTTATAAAACTAGGCCACCCAGATTTTTCAGAAAACATATTGTCGTAACATTATTCATTTAAATTGTCAGTTGAACGATTATTTAACTGTTAAACTATCTGTAGTTAGTAACATGGTTGTGGCATTTTATAGATTTTGGAATGTTAACTGTGATCTTTAATGGCCACCATAATACTAATTGTCCTTGGTTGTTCATTTGTAAGATATGGGATTACAAGAACATTTTATGTAGCTGTCCATATAGTGAGGTTAAAAACAATGCATACAGTGTCTTTGGGCTTGGTTCAAATACTCATCTTCTTACCATTAGGAAGTTGTGTTTCAGACACTTCACATCTGAAAATGGTCATCTGCTACATCAGAGATAGAAGCATCACTCAGTTTCAGATTATAAATGTGAAATTAAACCCCCACTTTTGAGTCTGCACATCTTACTTAGTTGTGGTGAGGGGTAGGAAAGATCACTTTCTCTTTTCTGTGTTCTTGTGCTCAGGTATGGTATTTCTATAATTGGATGTACTAGATTGTTGAGCCTGGTTGTACTATAACTATAGCCATTCTTTGCATTGTTTTTAGCCTTCAGGTCCTCTTGTCTGCTGTTGGTGATTTGCTGAGCACTCTTGTAGAGAGCAAGGATCCTTCTCTTCTTGGAGGTTACATTGGAAGTGTAATGCCCAGTGACAGTGAATGGGACAGGATGAGGCAGTCTCTTCCTATTCAGGTGAGTCTAATGCTGAAGTACACGTCTCATTCTGAAGTTTGTTGCATTCAGTTTCAGTCTGTTTACCCTGGAGTCGAAAAAAAAATTAACAGTGTTTCTTGCATTGCTCTTATGTCTTTGAACATTAATAACAGTTGTTATTAATGCAGATATACCATTTGACACTGGTGTCAGCCTCATGTAAAGAGGAATAAGGTCTGCTTCTGTCTTTGGGTATCTTAAAGAACTGTGCATTGTGGTGACTGCTCTGATACAAACCAAGCTTCTGGGCTACTGTGCTTTCACATAAGCTACATATTCTCATAGCCTCATTTGAATAAAAGAAACTGGGTAATATAGTGAACAAAAATTAGAAATCGATAATAAGCAATTTAGATAGCAATGAACTTGCATATAATTTAGTGTGTTCTGTTTGCAGTGGTTACACAGACCTCTTTTAGAGGGAAGGTTGAGTTTAAATTATGAATGCTTCAAGACTGATTTTAAAGAACAAGACACAAAGATTCTTCCCAGCCATTTGTGTACTTCATCATTATTGAGCAAAATGATCTTAACTGTACAGAAAAAGAAACTAGTCCTAGAAAACAATGTCCTCGAGAAAATAAGTAAGTCTATGAAGATTTAAATAGACTATATGTGTGTGTGTGTGTTTAAATGAAAGTTATTTGATTTAGACATGCTATAATCTTATTACTTATTCAGCATAATTTAGCATAATTCAGTTATTTTATTTAAGCTGGCATAACATTAGCATAAGGAGATTCTGTGTCACATGCCCTGAAGACAGTTGGTGTAATGCTCCATGCTTATCAGGATCCTGAAATTTCTTTTGGATTTTGAACATACTTACCTTTATGGCTCTAATTATTTTATTGACAGGTAGACACTCAAATGTTGAAGCTCAAGAAGATTTAGAATCCCAACAAAATTCCCCATTTGTAAAACTGTAGGTATGTCCTGCACACAGTAGTATTCAAATGGAAAATTTGCATACATATAAGAGAATACATGTTCTATGGAAGAAAGATGAAACTTCATTTGGCTATTGAGTGCTGCACTTTATTTACATTGCTCTTTATTTACATTTACATTCTACTTTTCTGTCCAAACAGAAAAGTAGAAGGTGATGGTTTGTTCTTGTTGGTTTGCCAGTTTTAAGCTGTTGTATTACTTTATGTTTTTATACATGGGGCCACTCCTGGAAGCCAGAAGACCATCTCAGATCACCGTAGAAGCTAGTGGTGCAGGCAGATTTGAGTAGGTCAATATGGCTGCTGGGAACTGAACTCAGGTCTTCTGGCTTTTAACCAGTGAGCCATCTCTCTAGCACCTTCCTTCCTTTTTTTTTTTTTTTTTTGATAAACTCTCAGCCTGCCATAGCTTACCAAGTATGGAGACGTTTAATCATTGTCATCTTTCTCAAATGACTGATAGAAATTTTTTGAGATGGTGTCTTCAGTGTATAGCCCTAACTGGTCTAGAACTTGCTTTGTAGACCAGGCTGGATGCAAACTCTGTTTTCCAAATTGCTGGGCTAGTGTTGTCAGCTCTCAGTTAAATACGGTAATTGTTTTTGCTAACTTAAGAGTGTTTGTTATTGGAGGACCAGGTTTCAAGGCTCCTGACTTCATGACCCACACATGATTTTATAAGAACTTTGGCTTTTGCTGTGCTAAAAATCTGTGATTGGGAAGTTTTGCTTTAGACTCTTGGTCCTTTTATTCTAAAAGCCCTGAGAGAGTTGAATACAGAGCAGTGTCCTACTGAGGCATATGGTTACTTTTTGGTTTGTTGTTTTGGGACAGGGGCTTACTATTTAGCCCTGATGGCCCCACAGACATTTTCCTGCTAGCCTAGGTACTGAGATTAAAGGCAAGTGCTACCTCTCCATGTTTACTTATGTAGTTTACATTGGATCATGTGTTTGCCTAATTGGCATGAAGCTACTGTCTTAGGTTAGAATCTCTTGTTTTGTTTTGTTTTTTCCTGTTTTTGTTTTTTAAGATTCATTTGTATTTTTTTAAAGATTTATTTATTTGTCATGTATACAGTGTTCTGCCTGCACACCAGAAAGAGGGTATCAGCTCTCATTATAGATGGTTGTGAGCCACTATGTGGTTGCTGGGAATTGAACTCAGGACCTTTGGAAGAACAGGTAGTGCTCTTAACCTCTGAGCCATCTCTCCAGCCCCTCATTTGTATTTTTAATTATGTGTATGTATGTGCATATGTATATGAGAATGCACCTGCCCTCTGGCCAAAGGTGTTTAATCTGTTGGAGTTAGAACTATAGATGGCTGTGAGCTATCTGGTATGGGTGTTGGGAAAAAACTTGACAAGTGCTCTTAAGTGCTGAGTGCTTACCTTTTTTGTATACCAAGTACACCTTGAACTCACTGAGATCTGCCTACCTCTTCCTGAGTGCTGGGATTAAAGGCATGCACCACCACGCCTGGCTCACTCCTGGCTGCTAGCTGTTTCCAATATCTAGTAAATTAGGGCTCTCTTTGGAAGAGGAGTGGGTTTTTTGTTTGTTTGTTTGTTTGTTTGTTTTGAGTGGTATTTGTTTTGCAGTGGGGTCTCACTTAGGTACCATATTGATCCCTGATTTTTCCCACCTTAGCTTCTCTAGTGCCTGGAACTATAGGTACATGCCACTGTACCCAACAAAGGTGTACTGTTTTATGCTGGCAGCTATTGTTACTCTAATTATCCGCTCAAATCTCAAAGCAATTTGAAAACCAGCTGACAGCTATTTTTATATGAGTGAGCACAGTTGTTAGAAAATGGGTACAGGGTGAAAGTGTTTCAATGGCCAGTCACCATGTGTTCTCTATGCTATGATGGCTGTGCTTTAGGTTTTGAGCAAGCAAATTTATTAAGTGAAAGTGAAAGAAGCAAAAGTGAAAGGAGAAATAACAAGTACCTGATAGAACAGTCACAGCATCTAGCACAGATGACTGGAGCAGCTCAGTTAAGAGCGTAAACAAAAGGTAACATCTTCAAGTTAAGCTTACAGATATCTAACAGAAATCAACGGGGGAAACCAACTGAGGCAAAAGTAAGAGTTCCTTTTGAGCCTTGGTCAGAACAGTGTCGGCTGCAGTTAAGCTTACGTATAAAAAAATGAATACCATCAAATAACATCATCATAGCAGGCACTTAATGTCGTCCAGCAGATACCAACGAAAGGAGAGACACAGGTGTAGAGTCTTGGCCCTCTTCATGGGTGAGCTGCTTTCACTTTCATGGATGAAACCTTTTTCCATTGCAGGTGTTCTTAGATTGTGGGATAAGCATTGTTTGCTAGGTGGAAATAATAGCTTTATCCCTGTCCTCACCACCATGTTTTCAGTGCCCTCAAATGCTTTCTGACTTTCTTCTTGTTACAGAATTAGGAAGCCAGCTTGTCTTATGACAAGGAGTTTTGGAAGAGACAAGGAAGAGCCCCAGACTCAGTTTTCCACAAGCTTCGATAGCACATGACAGTACAGTCAGCATTGGGTACTGTACAGTGTGCCTTTGATAACTGGCTTTCTCCATTCTCTTAGTTGCAGAGCTGCTGTATTCATTGCAGTGGTGTGAAGAACTTGACAATCCACCATCTTTTCTAACTGGATTTTGTGAAATGCTTCAAAAAATGAATATAACTTATGGCAACTTATCCGTATTTTGTAATACAGATAGCCTTTTGGAGCTGTTATTTAACAGGTAAGACTACCTTTCAGTTGTTTTTAAAGTAATTATTTGTGTTATGGCTTTCCCATCTTTAAGATGTAAGCCCATTTTGTGCTTTTGTTTCAATCAGAGTGTTGATTTAAATCCCTTTTAATAGTGTTTTAGTTTGGGTTTTATTGCTGTGAAAAGACATCATGACCAAGACAACTCTTATAAAAGAAAACATTTAATTGGGCCTGGCTCTCGGTTTCAGAGGTTTATTCCTTTATCATCATGGCAGGAAGCATGGCAATGTGCAGACAAACATGGTACTGGAGGAGCCCAAAATTCTACATCTTGATCCAAAGGCAGTAGAGGGAGACTGTGTATCATACTGGGTGTAGCTTGAGCATAGGAGACTTCAAAGCCTACCCCCACAGTGAGATACGTCCTCCAACAAAACCAGACCTCTTAAAAGTGGCACTCCCTATGGGGCAAACATTCAAACACATAAGTCTATTGGGAACATTTCTGTTCAAACTACCACAAATAGTAAGCACTTTATAGATTTTAATCTTCTAGAGGAGGTGTTTGAATTTTGCCTTTTATTTAATCCGTAAATACATTCAGGAGGCAGAAGATGAAAGAATTAGAAGCCTGTAGACATTGTTTTAATTCGTTACATGTGACTGATTTTCCCATTGCTTCTAAATTCAACCTGTACTTTAACTGTACCTGTAACTTAGATGTATCTTAATGTTGTGGCTATGAATTCATCCTTCTCAGATGAGGAAAATGGATCATGAGAATAGTCCTTGTAGCATTACAGTAGTTAGATGTTTAACTTTTTGAATGACATTTTTCTTTTTTAGTTTACCAGTATTAGAGTATGAGGGTCCTAGACTTCCTCTGTATCACTGGTCCACACTGACACAGCTTGATGGGCATCGTGATGCAGGTGTTTAATCCCAGCACCCATATTTCTGTATGGGAGGGGGGAGGGGGAGCGGAAGGGGAAGGGAAAAAGGAAAAAGGGAAGGAGAAGGAAAGGGAAAAGAAAGCCAACCCCAAGTACAGCTTCCCTCTGAGTTCCTAATAGAAAATTCTACCACTGAACCACCAATGCAAAACCTGAGTTCCTAATAGTCTCCCTTCACTGAGACTCAGTTTTTTTCCGGGAGAGAGCCCTTTCCCTTCTGTGCCTTCTGGTCTTCAAGTCAGATGTTTAAGGTCATCTCTCCTATTGGATCTTGAGGTACTTTGATTTTGCCTGGGAATGAGAGCTCAGTTCCAGTTGAGAAGAACTACCTTTGGGTAATTAGTGGCAGTTAGGTTCAAAGTTTTGGATTACTTAGTGATCCAAATTTATTTAATTCTGTAGATGGAATCCTGATAACAATGTTTTAAAATCTTAACAATTGTCAGAATTATTGATCCATACCTCTATCTATCTATCTATCTATCTATCTATCTATCTATCTATCTATCTATGTATTTATATCTATGTTTTACCTCTTTTTTTTTTTTTTTTTTTAGATCTAGAAAAAATGGCACACTTTGGTCTCTTATTATTGCTAGGTTGATCCTTTCCCGAAGTATTTCATCTGATGAAGTAAAACCATATTATAAAAGAAAAGAAAGGTATTCTTAATTAATATGCTTTCCACTTTTCAATTTATTATTATAATTAGTTACATTAGCCATGTGTGATTAGTGAACACTGTTGTGAATCAAGAAAATCAAGGTTTGGGCAGTGAGGGAATTGAATGAAAGGAAAGGTGAACTAAAGTCTGATAGATTTGAACGGGGTTTGATTGGAGTCACATTTGTTGGTTTTTGAGATGGGGTCTCACTGTGCAGCCCTGCTTCACCTGAAATGCATCATTTTGTAAACCTGGCTGGCTTGCCTCTGCTGCTTGAGTGCTAGAATTAACAGATTTTTTTTTTTTTTTTAATGAAGCATTTCTAACTTAATGCTTCATGAACATTTATACTCTTTCAGAAAAAGAACATTTTATAAACCCAATTTCCTCAAAAATCTTTTGGTTAGGGAGTCAGAGAGATGACTTAGTAGTTAAGAGTACTTGTTGCTTTTGCAGAGAACCTGGGTTCAGTTCCCAGCATCCCAGCACCAACATGGTTACCAACAGTCATCTGTAACTCCAGTTCCAGAGGATCAGACAGAACTTCTGATCTCTGAAGGCAGCAGGCATGCAATTGGTACACAAAGAAATTTGGGCAAAACACTAGTAAATATAAATTTAAATTAAATCTTCTAATAGGAATACTTTCTGTTCTCAACATACCACCTTATTTGTTGTATGGAAGTGGGAAAATTTTTTTTTTCTTTTTTTTTTTAAATAGCACCTTTCTTGGTCTCCTGGTCTCACAACCTCTACTTTTTTCCCTAGTTTTGATTTTATGTGTTTGCCTACATGGATTATATGTGTACCATGTGTATGCCTGGTGCCCATGGATTCCAGAAGAGGGCGTTTAAATTCCTTGGAACTAGAGTTACAGGTGATTGTAACAGCCATGTGGGTGCTGGGAACTGAATTGGGGTATTTTGTATGAGCAATAAGTGCTCTTAACCACCGAACTGTCTCCAGCCCCTTGTCTGTCTGTCTGTCTTTCTTTCTTTCTTTCTTTCTTTCTTTCTTTCTTCCCTCCTTCCTTTCTTTCAGATTAATTATATACAGTGTTCTGTCTGTATGTATGCCTAGACTAGGATACCAGGTCTCATGTGGTTGCTGGGAATTGAACTCAGAACCTCTGGAAGAACAGCCAGTACTCTTAACCTCTGAGGCATCTCTCCAGCCCCCTTGTCTTTTCTTAAATAAATGACATTGTCTGAAAGTGCACACCAGAATGCAGTAATGTACAAGATGAGCAGATTGGGGTGGCTATGCAGGCACGCTCCACTTTCAGATTGCACTTGCATTTACTGACTTACCTGGAATACTATGTGTTTTCTGGCACTATAGAATCGTAACTGAATTTCAGTTTTTTAAATCTTTAAAAAATTAAGAAATTTTATTTGAGGTAACTTTATTTACTTATGGGAAGTAAGAAAAGAATAAAAATAACAAAAATAAGCCTTAATGAGATGTATGTCCTGTTTTACTGATTGGTACCATTCTGCATAGAAAACTTGGGGTTTTTATTGGTTTATTTTTCTTGATGTTAGACATTGATACCAGGACTTTGTAAATGCTGTGCAAACATACTCCACTACTAGGCTGTGTGCAGTCCAGCCCACTGGTATAATAACAATAAAAGATGAAAAAAAAATCACCGTACCCTAGAAAAGTTATAAATGTTCACTTCAAAAATGAGAAATAAGCAGAAAAGATAAAAAGCAACAAAATTTAAAAAAAATTGGAATTGGCAATCATCAGTCTCATGGTTTCTTTTTTGGGACAAGTATTTGTACATTAGACTTCTGAATAGTCTGAATGACAGAATTTTGCAAGATAGCTATACACATAGAATAACTGTAAGTAATATTTTCTCTCTAAACAGTTTCTTCCCTCTAACAGAAGGTAATTTGCATACCATTCAAAGTCTCTGTCCATTTTTGTCTAAAGAAGAAAAGAAAGAATTTAGTGCTCAATGTATACCTGCTTTTTTGGGCTGGACTAAAGAAGACCTTTGCAGTATTAATGGTTAGTTGCTGGGTAACATTCTACATTTTAATAATTTCTTAAGATTAAAGAAGGATTTCTTAATATGTGAAAAAAAAAAAGGTACAAGTGGCAAAGTCTACTTGAGTTCATTTGTTTCTACCTCGTAGTTTTGTTACTTGTCGAGTTGGTAATTGCTAAGATGGAAGAGTGACCATTACCTCTTTTGAACAGAAGTGCTAAAGCCTTGAGAGAAAGTTTATATTCAGAAGTGCCTTATAGTCATTTGTCTCCATCTGTGGCTTTATCATGTGGTCCTGTGTATCTAGGGTCTTCTGCATTCCAGATAAGCACTCTACCACTAAACAGTTACATCTTCCACCTTCCACCCAAGTAGCTTTTTAAAGCCATGTCTCCTTTCACCATAGTCAACCAATGATTGCACATCTAAAGGTAAAAGAATAGTTTTTGTAGAATTTGAAAGTTTTTTGAACTCTGCAGTGTGTTCATGTGTTTCTTGATTTAATAAGCATATCCATGCAGTTCCTATTGTAGAGAAGACAGAGAGAAGTCACGTTCCATCCTGTTGGAACTGAGTGTAGCAGAGCACAGTATGCTGCTGTGGAAGTGGCAGAAAGGAGCGTTCCCTCTGCTTCCCAAGTAACGTGTTGAGGTACATGTTTGAACATTAGTGCATATTGGAAAGAACATTCCTGGCCTGCAGAGTAAGTGCAGATAGTTCAGTTGAGCTGACATTTAACTAGAGATGCTGCATGATCAGAAGATGGGTTTTGAAATGATAGGGTCCCATAGGAATGAAGTTAAATTGCTGAGTGATGTAACTTCTATAGGCATTTTAAATGTATTAATTTGGAACTGCTCAAGGAAGATCATGGCTTTCAGAGCAGACTTTGTGTTTTATAGTAGTAGAATTTAAAATGCTTTAAAATTTTCTTTAGAAATTTTACTTTAGAAGGTTTGAACATCTTATAGTATAAAAGCTTACCAGAAAGCTTTTATGTTTTTTGAGTAAATATTTTAATTACAGAATTCTACAATTCTATATGTTCTATTTTCTACTTTATTTAACTTCACCCTCCATAGCTGTGCATTTTTGTTATTGTTTTTGAAAGGTGAGTAGAAAAGGCTCCTTCCTATATACAGAAATAGAACAGGCTACTCTAAAGTCCAATACCATGCATTTCCTATCTCCTTCCCTTCTAATCCCCTATTCTAGACTATATGCTGGGTGAGCATGGAGACACCCCTGTGCCTATAGGGTTGAGAAGCTCGTTTCTTGACTCTTTAGTATAATACCTTTTAAATAGATTTGCTTATTGTTGTTAATTTATACATAGACAAAGTCTTGTGTATAGCCCAGACTTGTCTGGATGGCAGCATTCTCCTATCTCTACCTCTCGTGGGCTGAGATTGTAGGGACACAGGCTCAAGCTTTTCTTTTGGAAGAAAAGCTTCTAAAAAGGTAACTTGTGTGTTACCTTTTTAGCTTTCCAGAGTTGACTTGCTTTATAGGAGCTGTTTAAAATTTATTTTTCTTTTCACTCTGACTTTTACTTTAGGAGCTTTTGGACATCTTGCCATTTTTAATTCTTGTCTTCAAACCAGAAGTGTAGATGACAAACAGCTGTTGCATGGTATATTAAAAATTATAATAAGCTGGAAGAAACAGCATGAAGATATTTTTCTTTTCAGTTGGTAGGTAATACTTTATTTTCCCCATGTAAAATGTAGACCCCAATTCAGTATTTTATCCTTACAATTTTTTTTTATTAACAAAATTTTAGTAGATATTTAAGGCATCACTTATGCATACCTGTTGTAAAATGGAATATTCTTTAGTTGACTGTCTTTGTCTGTATCACAGTAATTTATCAGAAGCAAGTCCTGAGGTTCTGGGAGTGAACATAGAAATCATGCGATTCCTCTCCTTGTTTCTGAAGCACTGCTCGTACCCTCTAGCGGAGAGTGAATGGGACTTTGTCATGTGTTCCATGCTGTCTTGGCTGGAGGTAAAGTAGCTATGTGTCATCAGCTCTGTGTGGTCTTTGCCCACTCCTGTATATCTTTGCTTTCTACCCTGTCTTTAAATCATGAGTTTAATTAGTTTCTTTGTCAAAAAACCATTTAAAATACATTGTAGCTGTTCCTGTTAGTGCTGGATAGACCAGAAAAAGGATAGCAATTTCATGAGTCCAGGTGTCAGATCTGCATTTAAATCTTCCATTAACTTGTTTTAATTCAGTATTTGCAACACAGTCTTTTTAGGTTAGATTTCACATGGCAAGGTTTTGGGATCTTTTTATTTTGTGTTTTGTCTGTTGGGGTATAATTATTGCTAAAGTATGCTGTGCAGTATTACTTAAGTAATTTATGAAAGGTAAACACATTGAGTGTAGAATTAGTGCTCTTTTCACGAATCAAAGCAACTATAGAAATAGTAACTTCTGAGGTCTGTGAACGCAGATCAGTCAGGGCAGATGTGGTGAGAGTCTGCTTTACCAAGTTACCACTCGGTGAGTTAGATTTCAGCTCCCATCTCATCCTAGAGTTTTTTATTTTAAGATAACTTAATGTTCAACTTGTAAAGCTCCAAAGAATGAGTACTTAATGTATTGTACTTGGAAAAAGCAAGCATTTTCTTCTGACTTTACAAATTTAAAAGGTTCATTTTAGAATAAATTGTTCATTGATAATTGTTAGTTTCCTGGTATTAACTTTTGAAAGCTGTTTGATGTAAACATACATGAATTTCTCCTGAACTATGTACTTCAACAACCTTCTCCTTTTTCTCTTCTTCCTCACTCTCCTCCTCCTCTGTCTTCTCTTCCTCTGATTCAAAGTGATGAACAAATGCTTCATCCTGCATTGTTTGTGGTATTCTGGTAGCAGCCTGGTTACCTATTTCATTTCTATTGTTTTCTTAGACAACCAGTGAGAACCAGGCCTTGTACTCTGTTCCACTTGTGCAACTCTTCGCCTGTGTCAGCTTTGACCTGGCCTGTGATCTCAGTGCCTTTTTTGATTCAGTAACTCCAGATACCATTGGCAATCTTCCTGTAAATCTGCTCAGTGAGTGGAAAGAGTTTTTTTCTAAAGGCATCCACAGTTTGCTATTGCCTCTTTTGGTAACTGCTATAGGTAAGTGCAAAGGGGCATAATGATAATTATTGAAAACAACTGTTGAAAATTTTAAAATAAGCTTCGTTTCTTAGAGACAGTCTCTATGCTGCTGCTTCATGGTACAGATGGAGTGAAAGATGGCTTGGTATCAAGAAACTATTGCAAGTTAAGATTCAGTAATTCAGCAGAGTACATGGCTAGAATCCCTCTAGAGAATGACTTTTCTTTTAAAAGTGTGTGGTAGAGCCCATTATAACAGTTGAGGGTAATGGAAAAGCAGTTTGTTTCTAGTCAGGACTTTTGTAATAATTGTATCTAGTTTTCATTTGGTTTTCTTAATATATTTGATCAAGGCACTCAGTTTCTTTCTTATGAGTTGTATGTGTTTCATTTTATATCAGGAGAAAACAAAGACCTGTCTGAAACCTCCTTTCAGAATGCAATGCTGAAACCCATGTGTGAAACGCTAACGTACATCTCGAAGGACCAGCTGCTGAGTCACAAGCTCCCTGTGAGATTGATTTCCAGCCAGAAAACAAACTTGCCAGAGCACCTGCAGACTTTGCTAAATACTTTGACCCCACTGCTGCTCTTCAGAGCCAGACCTGTGCAGATTGCTGCTTATCACATGCTATACAAGTAAGACATCTTCAGTTGGATGAATACTTTAGTCTCTGAAACATGCTGTATATTTTTTAAGTTCATTTAGCCATCTTTCCAGCCTTCACATGGATTTTTAATCTTTAAAAAAATTAAATGAGAAATGAGACTGGATTATATATTCTAGTAATGGGGAGGACAAGGTTTTGACCTTGTCACTTCTGTCCCAGTGTAATTCTTTCCAGTATTTAGATAATCTTGGCCATAAGTAGTTATTTTGGAAAAGAATAAAGAATTATTAAAAGATATACTCAACACAAAGTATGTCCTGTTGGCCTTAAGCATAAGTTAACATTAGACAATTTCAGTATTGAAAAGTGATGCTCTGCTTTTCAGACTGATGCCTGAATTACCACAGTATGATCAGGATAATCTGAAGTCATATGGAGACGAAGAGGAAGAACCAGCCTTGTAAGGTTGAGTGTATGTTTGCATGTGTGAGTGTGTACCCTGGGGTGTATGTGTGTGTGGGGGGTTATGCTTTCCATCTTGTCTGTGGTAGTCTCTTGTTTGCTGTTGCAATTTGCCCTGCTAGCTGGCCCACCAGCCACTGGGGATTCTCCTGCCTCTGCCTCCCATCTTGCTCTCTGAGGACTGGGATTGAAGAGCTCTGCTACCGCATCCAGCTTTACATGAGTTCAGGGGATCCAGAGTCAGGTTCCTAAACTTTTGCAGGAAGTGCTTCACACACTGAGTCATCCCAGTTCCATTTTCCATCATAATTCAATTTATAGATTCTTATCTTTTGCCTCCTGATGTTAGGAAACTGAAATGCAGACTCTGACTCTAGAATTTGTACTAATTTGCATGCATACCCTTTGGAAGTTCTATAAGGCAAATGAAACCTAAAGTTGATGTTAAAGATTTTTTCTCTTTATTTTAAAAATTATGTATATGGGTGTTTTGTCTTTATGTATATCAGTGCACCACATGTGTTTCCTGGTGTCTGTGGAGGCCAGAAGAGTGCATCAAAGTCCTTGGTACTGGAGTTACAGATGACAGTGAGATGCTACGTGGGTGCTGGCTATCAAACCTCAGTGCTCTTAACTGCTGAGCCATCTCCCCTACCCTCTATCTATCTGTCTGTCTGTCTGTCTGTCTATCTATTTATTTCTGAATCAGTTCAGTTCAGTGTGCTGCTGTTCATCAAAACTTCGGCCATGTGGTAGTTGTGTAGATAGTGAAGATAGTTGTGTAGATAGTAGATACTTCAGGTATCTATAGAGCCCTATTTGTACACAAAATATAGGTGTTGAGGGGCAAGAACAATATATAGTAAGCACATTGATTTTGCTAAGGAACTTATAAAGTAATGGATGCAGCTCTTTGTAACAGGATGTACATGTGACAGGTGCTAAGAAAAAGGATAGACATTGCAGTAGGACACAGAAGAAACAATGGGCAAAGACACTGAGCCATGACAGTTCAGGATATACAGGGGAGATGTGAATTATTCAGCAAGCTCTATGACAGAATTTCTGTCCCCTGTCCTACTTTTCATATCATGCAGAGTGATTGGGATCACCACAAACCCACAAGTAATTCTCATTGGTTCAGTGAGAGTTGAAATGAATTATTGTGTATAAAGCAGGGGAGGTGAAGCTAGAATAGTAGTTAAGGAGCAGGATAAGAGATGGCCTTAAAAATAGTATTGGGCTAGGAATCCTCAGTACCTACATAAGTGCTGGGCATGGCTAGATGTACCTGTTATCCCAGGACTGGGAGCAGGGTGCCCAGAGGCAGGCAAGTCCCCAGAGCTTGCTGCCTGCCAGAGTGAATGTTAGACTCTGTGAGAAGACCTTGTCTGAAGGGAAGAGGTTGGAAAGTGATAGAGGAAGAAACCCAGTGTCCTCTTCTGGCCTGTGCATGTGTATCTAGGCAAACACATACACATCACATATAGTCTGTGAAGATGGAATCATTAAGGATTTAGGACATCATTTGCTAGCACATAGTATGCCACCAGCTGATTCTTACATGAGGTAAAGCATATGTTGCAGAAAGAAGCAAGCTGAGGTGGAACCATTCCAGAAGTGACATAACAGTTTTGGATGGCAGTATGGAATGCAATTTCAGATGGTGTTTGTAAGGTATTCATGACAATTGTTATAGACCAGGAAGAGAGTGGAAGCTTAGAGAAAGCCTACGTTTATGAGCTAGCAGCAGGATGCCAGCAGGGGAAAATACACAAAAACAAACCAAAGAACCAGGTTAGAGTACTGTGGACAAGTTTGAAAGGCCAGTGAGGATTTTACTTTTTAGGGCTCCTAATTTCACATGAAAACAGTACTGAGTTAAGTGATCCAGTAGAGAAAGGTAACTCTACTGAGTTCATGTGCACATCAAGCTTTTCAAAAGAGAAATACTCCGATGAAAAGTTTATCCTTTGGATAAATTATGATGACCTTTTTGAGATGTTTTAACTGCTAAGTAAGTTGACAGTAGGAACTGGAAATGCAAAGTAAGGCGGGGCTCAGTGTCTCACTGTAAAGGGCTCAGTACAACATGGAAGCCTAATACTTTTACAAAATTAGCCATTTGTTCTCTGGCCATGGGACTTGTTTTCTGAACTATAAATCAGAGGTTGGAATAGGTATTTTCTGCAACTGTGTTTGGGTGTTGACATCTAGTATCTATTTTTTAGCATAGAAACTTTTTTTTTTAAATAAGGGAAGATTTTCTTTTTTAAAGCTTGAAGTTGTTAAGTACGTTTAAGTTTGTTGAGAGACAAGTACATGGTACTGTGTTGCTTCTCAGGTCACCGCCGGCAGCACTGATGTCTCTCCTCAGCACTCAGGAGGACCTGCTGGAGAATGTCCTGGGCTGTGTTCCTGTGGGGCAGATAGTTACCATTAAGCCACTGAGCGAGGATTTCTGCTATGTTCTGGGATACCTCCTTACTTGGAAGTTAATACTTACTTTCTTCAAAGCTGCTTCATCTCAGGTAAATAAATGCAGGACTTTAGGAATGGTTGATGGTGAGAGTGCGATGGAATAACTACATGTGACCCCTTTGGATGACTCTGTTGCAATGTGTTTCTCAAAGCTCTCTCCTTCCTATCTTTTTGACTCAGAACAGGGATGCTCTACATTTCAGTCTAAACCTGTCAAGCCAGGTTCATACACCTGCTGCCGAGATTACTTATTTTTCCAAATGCATGCTTCTTTCCCCCAGAGTGAATCTTGGAAATGGGTCTGGGACATTCAACCTTACAGGATGTAAACAGCTAATTTCTCTAGTTCAAAGAAATATCTTTTATGGTCTGACTTTTGTTCTAACAGTGATTTTAGAGATTTGGAATTGGGGGGTTGCTTTTTTATGGAAGTCATGATCTTGCCACAGAGATTCAGTTGCTGTATCACTCAAAACTAGTGTTCTGAGGACGGTCTTTGAAGGACTACCCAATCATGAGCTCTGTTTCCTCCCTGTCAAAACTTTAATCCAGCAAAAATAACCTAATAATATCCAGTTACTACAGTGGCCACTAGATGTCTCTGTTATTTCATATTTCAGAAGAAAGATCTCAGTCTCTCTCCCCTCCTTTTCCTGCCCCTCTGCCTATATCACACTCTCTTACCTTCTTTCATTTTTTAGATAGAATCTTGTTATATAATCCAGCTTGGACTTGAACTCAAATCTGTTGCCTCAGCCTCCCCAGCTCTAGCATTATATGGTGTGCTATCATGTATAATTTTAGCTTTTATTTCTTCAGAACTGCAACAAAACTCTTTGTGAGTTTTGAGACATGACCTTTATAGGAATGTGGAGTGATTTCTGGATCTTCAATTCTATTCCACTTATAGATATACCTGTTTTTATGCAAATACCATTACTATAGCTCTCTAATACAACATGAAATCTGGGATGGTGATACTTCAGCACTTCTTTTATTATTCAGGATTGCTTTAACTATCCTGAGTTGTTTGTTTGTTTTTCCATATGAAATAGAATATTATTGTTTTCAATTTCTGTGAATAATTGTGTTGAGATTTTGATGGGGGATTGTGTTGAATCTGCAGATTGCTTTTGGTAGGGTGGCCATTTTCACAGTATTAACCCTCCTGATACATGAACTTCTATACAATGTTTTAAAGATGTTTATTTCATTTTTAAGTATGCATATATATATATATATATATATATATATATATATATATATATATATATATATATATTTACTTAAGTGTCATAGCTGGCCCTGGTGGCACATGCCTTTAAACCAGCACTTGGGAGGCAGAGGCAAGCAGATATCTATAAGTTTGAGGTCATTCTGGCCTACAAAGTGAGTCCAGGATAGCTGGGGCTTGATACACAGAGACACACTGTCTAGAAAAACAAAACAAAAACAAACAACAACAAAAGTATGTAAGTGTCTGGGTATGAGCTTGTGAGTGGCCAGAAGAGGGTATAGGATGTCAGATCCTTTGTAGTCAGTTACAGGTGGTTGTAAGCTGCCCAGTATGGGTCATAGGAATCAAGACTAGTCATCTACAAGAGCAGCACATGGTCTTACCTGATGAGCCATCTTTTCAGCTTCCCTCCAACTTTTTTAAAATGTCTCACTCTGCAGACCAGACTGACTTGGAACTTCCTATCTAGCTCCAGGCTCGTCTTCAACTTGTGGCAGTATTTCTGCTTTATCTTTCCAAATGCTGCGGGTATAGGTATGTCCCACTACCGTTAATAATAAGCAACACAAAATCATACCCACAGAGATGCAATTTCTATCATTTTAATTTTAAAAAGATTTACTTAATTTTTAATTATGTATATATGTGGTAGATGCCTATGAAGTCAGAACCTCTAGAACTAGAGTTACAGGCAGTTAAAACTGCCTGCCAGAGGTGCTGGGAACTGAGATGAGGACCTAAAAGAGCAGTGCACACTCTTAGCCACTGAGCCAATTCTCTAGCCCTTTATGTTTTGAGACACTTCCATGTAGCCAAGGCTGGCCTCATATTCACTAGGTAGGCTGTGATGTCCTTGAACTTCTGATCCACGAGCCTCTAGCTCTCAAGTGCTGGGAATATAGGTGTGCCAGCACACACATATGCAGTGTTGGACTGAACCATGATTAATTCTCAGCAGAGGTACTTGCCTCTGCTGAGAAGTCAGGTGGCTTGCTGTCTTAGGTCTGGTGTGTTGGTGATGTAAAACTTGGCTACTTGGTAAAGGTTCTGTCTCTAGATTTCTCCATTGCAAGGGTGTTTTATCAGTATGTCCTAATCAGCTCCAGATCTTATGACTTGTGCTGTGAGGTGTGTGATACAAAGAAAGTAATCCAAACCAAAACAAAAACGATGTGAAATCGCAGGGTTGGTTACTGAGAAACAGGTAGTTATGAAGCATGAATATCACCCAGAGTTCTGTCTGGTCTAGGGTGCCAGATTTTCCTAATTTTAAGAGGAACTAGAAATCCATATTTTTATGTAGAATTTCCTGATTGGTGGTGAAACAATTGTGAAAACATTTTGTGCTACTCATTTGTGTGTTCTGTTCTAAAAGAATGGCATAATATTTGATGTAGAATAAAGTTAGCCTTGAAAATGAAATTAGTTTTACTCAGGAATTTGCAAGATTAAGACTATGGTGTGGAAGGAATGTGTGGCAGAGTATGAGTTAGTCATCTGTGGGGAATGGCAACTAGATAGTCTTGGCTCAGATGAAGCCTGCAAACCAACGTGACTGTATTGATGGGGAGCTGATCTGAGAGTAATGCTAGAAGTATCTATCTAATAACGAGGAGAAGTGCAGTGCCATGTCATGCACGTAGCACATTTGGGAATACATATGCTCACATCGCTTATAGCAGCGCTCCTGTAATGGAGCTCTCACTCAGTCACTCTCTCTCTGTCTCTGATTTTGTCAGTATTGTATATGAGCCTACTGCCTCGGTACATGTTAATGCTTGGCCACTGAATTACATTGGCCTCTTCTGTATAATTCCAAGTGTTGAAATACATCTTATCATATCATTGTATAATCTACTAGTTTGTTCTTTTGCCTTATTTAGTTGAGTTTACTAATCCATTTTTTGCTTCCCACCAGCTTCGTGCTCTGTATTCAATGTACCTTCGGAAAACAAAGAGTCTGAATAAATTACTCTATCATCTGTTCAGACTTATGCCAGAAAACCCTACTTATGGAGAGACAGCTATTGAGGTGTCAAATAAGGACCCCAAAACATTCTTCACTGAGGAGCTTCAGCTGAGTATTAGAGGTCAGTGAGCTATACGTATGCATCCTTCTTAGAGACTTTGCTCAGACCAAGTTGTACTAAACATCAAGGATGACCTTTGATGGGAGTTTCAGCTAGGAGGATGTGGAAATTCAAGATTTTCCAAATTTATCTAATAGGACAGATAGCTGGAACTTAGGGATCAGAATTTCATTAGTTTTTGAAACTTAATATTCTATATGAATCTTTTTTGAGAAAGGGTGTCACTCTCTGGCCTTTGCTGGCCTGGAACTCTGTGTAGACCAGGATGGCTTCAAGCTCATAAAGATCTGTCCACCTCTTCTGGGATTTAAGGCATGTGCCACCACACCCTACCATCTCTATTTGATTGATGAAACAAAAGTAAGTGAAGTTTATGTTCTTCACTGGAAACTTACATTTTAGTTAGAAATGTGAGGAGACAGAAATGCAGAGCACCTTACTGTATTGTTATATAACTGTGCCCATGAAGAAGAACTCTGAAAAATCCTTGCTCTGAAGATGCTGTGCGTGGTGTAAAGATTAGGTGTTTGGCTTTTTTTAGGTTTATTTTATTTCATCTTTATGAGTGTTTCACCTCCATGTATCCGCATCATGTTTCTGCCCTGAGGGTCCAGAAGAGGGTAGATGTCAGTTCCCTAGAACTGGAATTACAGACATAGTGAGCTGTCATGTGAGTGCTGGGAATCTAGTTCCTTTGCAAGAGCAACAAGGGTCCTTAACCACTGAGCCATCATCTCTCCAGACCCTGGGATGATTTTTTCCAGTTCAGCAACTCAATGAGCTGTGGGGACATTAAAGGAGGCAACTTACTTTTATAATCAAAAAACAAACAACCAACAAAAACCACAAAGGACACTTAAATGTTTCTCTTTTAAAAACACTTGTCCCGTTTCATTTGTGGTCTTTCGTGTGAAACCAAGGGTATTTCTAGACTTTTCTGTATTAGTGGGATTTTCACTGCTACTGCATGGCATTGCTGCAGTTCAGTTTGAGTGTGCATGCAGGTGCTAACACTCTTTCAACTGCAGTCTTCCTGTTTTATGAGCCACTACACTGTTCTCAGAAATATACTGTTCGTCTGCTATTCCAGGTGAGAAGTGCACATCACTAACTTGGAATTTTTTTTTTCTTCAGAAACAGCAACTCTGCCATACCATATTCCACACTTGGCATGTTCAGTCTATCATATGACTTTAAAAGACTTGCCTGCCATGGTTAGGCTGTGGTGGAACAGCAGTGAGAAGCGTGTTTTCAATATTGTAGATAGATTTACCAGCAAGTATGTCAGCAATGTTCTTTCTTTTCAAGAAATATCTTCTGTACAAACAAGTACACAGCTATTCAATGGCATGACGGTTAGTATTGTCTTGACTTCTGGAAAAAAATAGCAGTTATAGCTTTGATTACTTATGTCATCACAAATTATAACCCTTAATTTATAGAAAATGGTTTACCTTATTTTCTGATTCCTCTGTCAACGAAGAGATGGTAAGCACCCAGCAGACACTTCATACTTGGAGTGCCATTTGACTGTTCAACAGTGCTTTCCTGTGTTCAGACCTAATTACCGTTTGGCACTTCCTATGCACAAAGTAGAGCTTATAAGAATAGCCAAGTGTCATAAAGTCACTCTAAAGCATGCTAAAATCTTATTTTTTGCAGCCTTGTCTCACCAGAAACTCACTGTGTAGGCTCTAGGCCTCCCCTGCCTCTGTCTTCAGAGTGCTGGGATTAAAGGCTTGTGCTCTCATGCTTTGCCACATGCCAGGTGATGCCTGGTCCCCGATAAATGATATGTTCCTCTCCTTATCTTCCTTTGTAATCTTCAGCTGTTAGTTGATCTGTCAAAGTGTTTTCACTTTCAATAATAATAGGAAGTTACTTGGCAAAGAAAAAAACACCTTTCTTGTGTTGTAGGTTAAGGCGCGAGCTACTACTCGGGAAGTGATGGCTACTTACACCATTGAAGACATAGTGATTGAACTTATAATACAGTTGCCTTCCAATTATCCCTTGGGTTCCATAACAGTGGAAAGTGGGAAAAGGATTGGGGTGGCTGTGCAGCAGTGGCGCAACTGGATGCTGCAGTTAAGCACTTACCTCACCCACCAGGTATGTTTCTGCTTACACATTTGCCCTTCAGACCAGAGAAAGGATCTATTGGAAAGAGCAGCTAGGCACAAAGTCTCTTTGCTTAAAGTGGAAACTAAAAATTCTTGGATAAATGCATCAAATGGGTTCCTAAAGCTGCTGTTTCTGCTTTAATTTTCAAAGTTCAGTAATTACTTTTCTGTTGTTTGGTAGACATGGGCTTTATTGCATTCACATTGCAGATGTAGAACAACACATGGTATTAAAGAAATGAAGGGGCTCTCTTAGGAGAGACTGGATTAATGAATGTTTTTCCAGTTACCTTTATTCCTACATTTCAACTTTTAATTGATCTTTAAACAAATTATAGATCTTTAGTTTTCTTTGTATGTATATAAACAAAAAAGTATATATTTTACAATAAAAATTATTTTAAAGCAAAATTCTATTCTATTACTATGAATCAATTGCAAGGTCAGATGATATCATCACTATCAGTTGAAAATTAGGAAAGCTGTTCTAAATGACTAACTCCTTAGAGAAGCTACAGCTAACACTTAAAGTATTGGTTCAGAAGACTTTAAAGGTATTTTCTTTTTTAACGAATATCTTATTTTTTTCCAGTTTCCTACATATATACACTGTATCTTGAGCATAGGCTCTCTCAGCTTCCCGCTCCAGCTCCCTCTCAACTCATTGCCCTTTGTCTGTCATCTCTTTCATGTCATAGTAGCCCCACTCCCCTCAGTTGGCATCATGCCTGCCGTACTGTGCACTGATCTTGTTGGCTGACTCTGTGCCATAGCTGCAGTGAATTCTTGAGTACAGAAGCCATGTCCTGTCCAGCAGACAGCATTCCTCCATAGCTTCTGCTGCTTACATCTTTCTGCTCCCTCTTCCTAAGCTTTGGGTGGTTGATTCAGTTGCCTTGTTTAGGGTTTAGCAGCCAACTGTCACATATTGTCTCGGCATTTGACCAGCTATCAATCTCTGTATCACTGCCCACTTGAGAAAGTACATCATTTATCTTCGGGTTTGAAACATAAATGTTTACAGGGAAGCTAAAAACATGCTTGTCATTTGGCAAAATAAAATGTGGACATGGGCTTTGACCAGGTCTATGGAAGGTGTGAACCCTCTTGCGAAGCAGGCTCATGAAAAAGCTGCAGGTTCCCTCACAGCAGTCTTGCCACTGCGGCACCAGGGGGTGCCTCCTGCTGGAAAGTCAGTGTTATAGTAGAGCCCAGGGCCGGAGAAGACAATTGATGTGCCTTCTCCCCCAGCGGCCTACATAGCACCTTCTGACACTGAACGCAGGGAGAAAGTGCTCAGGGCAGTTCTACCTTGATTTCTCTATGTTCTGCAACAAAAGTGTGTTGTGTCTTATCTAGTTCTGGTGGGCAGCCAGGGGTAACAGTAGAAGCCTTTGTTGTTGGGGGGCCTCTGAGACCTTGCTAACCAGCCATTCCTACATAGGTAATATTATGTTAAAATTATATATATATATATATATATATATATATATATATATATATATATATTTTTTTTTTAAGAGGATACAAAGTTTGGGTATAGTTAGGCAGAGCCAGATCTGAGTGAAGATCAAGGAGCAAATGGTAGATATGATCAAAATATATTATGTGAAATATAATATACATTCTTAGATATTACTAAAAAGCCCAAAGAAATTTAAATTAGCTTATAAGGTGTGGGTTTCTGTAAGGGTTTCTGGTACATCTTAGCTTTGGTTAACCCACTTCCAAACTCCCCTTCTGTGCTACTACCTGAATCTTATTTAAGCCTTTAAAACCAATTATTTCTTGGAAAAACTATCTTTAATGAGAAAAATTGTATTTTTTCCTAAAAATTCAGAGATAATTTATAGTAACATTTAGGGAAGTTAGGAGATAATATAATCAATCAGCCAGATTCAGCTTTGATTTTGTGGGAGTGAATAAAAGTACCATCTGGAGGCTGTCAGTATCGGTGACTCTCTTTCCTCTCTCTTTCCTCTTTACTACAGAATGGAAGTATTATGGAAGGCTTAGCATTATGGAAGAATAATGTAGACAAACGATTTGAGGGTGTTGAAGATTGTATGATCTGCTTCTCAGTTATTCATGGTTTCAACTATTCTCTTCCCAAAAAAGCCTGTAGAACATGCAAGAAAAAGTTCCACTCTGCTTGCTTGGTAAGGCAAAGAGATATTTCTTACTTTTTTTTTTTTTTTTTTTGTGCTCTGTATATATGTGTGATATTTATTTGAAAGATGGTGTGGAGGGCTGGTAAGTTGGTTCAGTGGGTAAAGACACTTGCTGCCTAAGACTGGCAACCATGTAGAGGTAGGAGAGAACCAATCTACAGGAACTGCTCTCTGACCTCATGTCCTCACCACTGCACATTCCTGTTATGCAAACAATTTAAGAAAATAATATATGCTTATAGTAGACATTAAGAAGTGACTTTAAAAAAATCAGTAAAAGATTATTAGTGATTTACTGAGATGGTGCATCAAAGCACTTTAAGGAATGGATACTTTCGGGCTCTTAGCATTTAGTGAATTAATGGTCCAGGATGGGACACTACAAGACTTGACACAGCCGCCCAGCATCAGAACCTTTTGCTCCTTGTAGGATGTTGAGTTCATTTCTTCATATATATTTCTTCTACCTTAGTTTTATGAATGAGCCTTAGTATACAGGGGCAAGGGATCACAGTATAGCCTCTAGAAAGAGCATTTAGTTGTTAATTTTGGAGATGGAAGGCAAAATTCTTAATATGTTCTATTTTTCATTTTGTCATTACAGATTATGAAATTGAAAGCTTTAAAATTTATTTTAACATTTAAAACCTTTTCTTTTCCAGTACAAATGGTTTACATCTAGCAACAAATCAACTTGTCCACTCTGTCGTGAGACCTTTTTCTGAGGTGTTTTTTCATTGGAAATTTTCCCTGCAGTAAGTCAAGCCAGAGGCAGTGGACTTGGTTTCATCTTGAAGTACCGATGTGAGGAAGCCAGTGAGCATGACAGAAATGCCATCTCTGTTATGTGAGCCTCAAGTCAGGCTCCCCTCTCTTTAGATTTGCTTTGTAAATCTTTAGAAACTTTCTTTTTACAACATTACATACTTGAGAGAACATATTTATATTAATGGCTTAATCTCTTTGTATATTTAAAAATAAATATATCTCTTCTCAAAAATATCCTAAATTATAAAACTGAAATTTGTAAAAGCATAAACTATATTATAACTTATAAAACCATCCAGTTTATTGGTCTGTGTTGTAGAACAGTCCAAGTGTAAGGCAAGTGAACTGAACTGATTTAAATTTATAGGTAAAACTAAGATTTGTTTGTTGGTGATGACAAACAATAAGTAAAAATTACTGAATTTCATAGATGATAAAGTGACACTAAACTATTTACATCCATATCCAAAGCTGTTTGAAGCCTGCTCTGAAACCTCACATGGAAGAATGAACTGAACTCCAAGCAGCTCTGTTGAGACTTACAAAATTCATAAATTATATCCATGACATTAATCTTTAGCTTGTGAAACAATTATTTCCTATGTTAATGAGATTTGAATTGTAAATTTGTTGGATGAAGTTATTACTCCATTCAGTGAGTCTCCAAAGAGTGGGAATTTGAAGCAGTTTTTAAATTATTCTTGTGAAGTAAAATGGTGGTTGTCTATTAAGAAAGGAATAAGTATTACTAAAGTGCAATGACGTGTGGAAAAACCAATACTTAAAAATGTTGTAGGAGACTTTAAATTTTGTGAGCTAATTACTTAAAACTACCAGAAATGAAGAATTTAGTAGTAAGTAAAGTTAAGTTTTTCTGTTTTGAGATAACATCTCACTGTGTAGCTCTGGACTAGCCTGGGACTCAGTAATCTGCCTGCCTTTGCCTCCCAAGTGTTGGAATTAAAGTGTCCACCAAGTCTGGGGAAATTAAGTCTTAATGGACTGCAGTATGTAAACAAGTGAAAAACTGCCATTGGCTTCAGTACCGTTGCCTTTAACTATATCCAAAGTATCAAGTACGGAAGTTTGGATCTTAGACTCATTTACTACAGTCTTCCATTTCATATCTAATCTAGTCATTAGGATACCTAACAGGTCAGTTTATCATCTGTGTTGCAAATGTTTGATTAGAAAGGTGCAACTCTTGTCAAATAAAATTCCTGCTTACCATCAACTGGTCAACAGACTGTTATTGAAGTAGTATGAAATTGGTCAGGACTGCAGTCTAGAGTGAGAACTATGTGTGGGTTACAGATGCAGCATCAGTTTGTCTGTCTCCTGATTATTTTTTCTTCTGTGTAATATTTATTATCTTATAGTCTTGAGGTTCCGAAACAGAGTGAAGTGTAGATAGCAAAATTCTACTACCTCTTCTTAAACCCTTACAACACTCTTTTACCTATGTCTGCCTCTGACACAGTAGTCACATGAATGGCGATGCCCCTTTGAAAATTACTCTTTTCCTTTAAAAGCAGTTTTACAATAAAATTTTGTTTATAACCTTTCCAGTATTGGTTCTTGACTTGTGACCTGAAGCCTGAGTAAAAGAGAAGACAGAGAAGTAGACCTTTGGCTTCCTGCAGTGTGTGGGCATCGGGAGCTCCTTACACTCAGCACTCTGGAAGCTTCCTGTGAGACTTGTGTGGATAGTTGTCACTTCACTACAGTTGATACGCTTTAAAAAAAAAAAAAAATTAAAAAAAAGCTTTCCAGAAGCAAGACTGAAACTCAGAATACCACGTTTGGGTTTTATTATTTAGCTTTGACAACACTCATAGACAGGATACCAGCCCTTGATAAACTTAGCATGAAAGGACCTTAAAATTGACTGAGAGTCAAAGCCCTGGTACAAGTGTACTTTTAACCTCAAGCCAAACAGCAATTTTTAAAATTTATTTTTAATTCTTATTTTTCTCATCATTTCACATATGCATATGCATTTCTGTTACTTAAATAACATTAACACTTGATAAATTTTATGGTGTGAATAATTATTTGATTATTATACCATTATAGAATATTTCAAATATACAGAAAATAGTAATATATATCCCTTGTATGAACTCCTCCCAAACTATTTTGTCGTATTTGCTTCTTCTGATTTTTAAAGAAATAAAATGTTACTCTTTTCTATTCTCTGGCCCATTCTCCTTCCTTCTCCAGAGCTAGTTTGCTGTTCTGAAGTTTGTGCATCTCCTTCCTACTTGATGATTTATACTTTATGCTGTATATTTGTATCTATAAATAATGTATAGCAATCTTTTTTTTTTTTCTGTAAAGAAATTGAGGGAGCTTTCCTACTTGTGTCGTCTTTTGCAACTTGCTTCTTCACTTAACCACTATTCAACATTATACCTGCCAGTCTTCCTAATTGCCATTTTGGGCAAATACATTTGGATGTCTCATCTGGTCTTCAGTATAAGCCAGTGAAGGAATGCACCTAGCAGGCAAAGAGCAAAAGCTTCCTTCTTCCACATCCTTTATATAGCCACCCAGCAGAAGGTATGGCCCAGATTAGAGGTGGATCTTCCCATTTCAGAAGGTCCAGATTAAAGATGGGAATTCCCATTTCAAATGATTTAATTAAGAAAAATTCCTCACACATGTACCCATCCACTTGGGTTTTAGTTAATCCCAGATGTAGCCAAGTTGACTACTAAGAATAGCCATCACAACATTTTTAAAGTTTTGTTCCTCCCAGCAGCTCTTCACCTCTCACTAAATTTTATCTTCCAGGTCTTATACCCCAACTATTTATTTTCTGCTGCTCTAAATTAGATGGAAAAGAAATGTCTATCTGTGGTGAAATCCTTTACTGCCTGGTATAGTCCTGTCTTTTAATTTGTGAATATTCCTTACAAAAGGTCTCACTTAGTTAGGAAGGGTATTCATCTGTCACTGGTATTTTTTATTTATTTACTGTGAATTTTAAGGACTCCTTTGAGTAACACCAAGGTATCCTGGAATTTGTTGTCTACTACTCAGACTCAGTAGGGTGCTGGAGGGTAGCAGTTGAAGAAATGGGCCTAATTAGGGCATCTTCACAGTGTCATATACTTTGTTCCATTTCATCCTCTTTCTCAACACGAGCAGGAAGACATGGTTACTGTTTCTCTCCACAGCAGTCTGGTCAGTCTGGTAAACATAAGGTATACCAAGAGACAGCATGCGAAGGAAAGACTCAGGCTCCCTGAGAGTTCCTGTCTTCTTATACAATGTATAGTATGCATCTGGCTGAGGCTATACTCCTGTTCTCACCCCCACAGGACTTGGGACCAAGACAAACTGGTGGAGACCATGCCAGTGTCCATATTAATTGTTGTGCTATGTCTGCTGCTCTTGTGCAGGAGCCTGGTTTTGCTGGCCAGCAATGAAACTGTACCTGACTAATGTAGGTTGCAGGCAAGGTAAAATATGCAACCCTGTATGTTTCCCTGTACTTTTCTTGACAGTTCAGTGGTGTGGTTTTCCCTTTGGAGCTTCCATTGGTGCTGCTTGCTAAAGTCAACAAGTTTTCACCTAACAGTCCACTCCCCAAGTATGGCACATTGGCAGCATTTCCACAGGACCCAGAGGCGAGACTTTAGGTTGGAAACAAGTGTTCCTGAGTACCTGAGAGTCTCACCTACAACTGCTCCTTCCATATTCATGCCCAGGCTGCAGTGTTGTTCTTCTGGCACTCTGGCTATGGTCCAGCAAGTGCAGTGGTTGAGGTTGTGTCAGGTAGGGATTCCACACAGGGCCTCCGGCAGGCCCTATCTTAAACTGCAGTTGCAGGCCTCAGAATCCAGCACTTAAAGCAACTGCTCTTGCTTTAAGTGACAGCCCTTGGCCTGATACTGTATCTTTACAGATCTGAATACAGAATATTGATCACCAAGTTATCCTGACCCTGGTTACTCTATCATGAACTGGGGATTATCAATTTTATTATTTGAAAATTTCATACATGTATACAGTTTATCTTGATCACATTCACACATCAACTTCCTCCTATCTGCAACTTCACACCCACTTTCAAAAATTTATATATAGAGAGCTGAGAGGTGGCTCATTGGTTAAAAGCACTGTACTGCACTTCGAGAGGACCTAAATTTGTTTTCTAGCACTTGTGTTGGGTGGCTCAGAACCACCTGTAACTCCAGTTCTGGGGCATCTGATACCGTCTTCTGGACTCCATAGGTACTGGCCTTATGCAGCATATATCCACACACAAAAACAATTTTTAAAAATTCTATCTGTATATTTAACTCACTGAGTCCAGTCAGTGCTCTCATGTCCACACAGGTAAAGGGTTGTCCACTGGGGCATTGCCACTTCTAAAAGAAGTATCTCAGGGAAGGTGGGCAAAATCCCTACAAATTATCATCTTCAATTACCTCCATAGGAGGCTGGACTACTTGGATGCCATCACTCACCCCTGATGCTATTTTGTTCAAAGAATGGAGCCACAGCCATTAACTGCATTTAAGATTCTTTATCAGGTTGATTATGATAATCCACTGTCATTCTTTAATATTACCATTTGTGTAAAACAAATGCCACCACAAAGGAGTCAAGTTCTTTTATTCCTGCAGTTTATTTCCCAGAACTCTGCTATGTACACACATCAATACTTTGGGTGGCTTTTTAAAGTAGCATGTATGGAATAAAATTCATCTGCAGCTTTTCTGTACTCAGTTGTAGCTAGTTGCCATGGATCCTCTGGTTCAGGGCCATGTTTCATGGCTATATGTTCAGTGGTATGGATAAACTGAGATTTACTTTAACCGGTGTCCTTTCTGATGGACATTTAGGGCAATCATCCTGCTTTGCTATTATAGCTAATGCTAAATCAAATATTTTCATATGTAAATATATAAAATAAGTTATAAATACTGTACATTTACCTGCATATGTACAGAAATACTCATATGCTTGATTCTCTGAAAACAAAATGCCCCAGCTTTGCATCCTTCTTTTTTTTTGGTTTAGTTATTTTGTTTTTACCTATGGGTATTTTGCTACATTTTGTATGTATACCATGGGTGTGCCTGGTACTCTTAGAGGTCAGAAAAAGGCAGGATCCCTTGAAACTGGAGTTATGGGTGCTGTGAACTACCCTGTGTGTACTGAAAACTGAGCCCCCATCCTTTGTATTAGCAGCCCGTATCTTAACCTCTTAAGATGTCTATCCAGTCCCGCCTTTTTTTTCTCTTTTTTTCTTTTCTTTTCTTTTCTTCTTTTTTTTTTTTTTTTTTCTGTTTAATTTTTCAAGACAGGGTTTCTTTACGTAGCCCTGGTTGTCCTGAAACTAGACTGTAGACCAGGCTGACCTTGAACTCACGGAGATCTCCTGTCTCTGCCTCCTGAATGCTGTGATTAAAGGTGTGTGCCACTACTACCCAGTCCCACTTTTTCCTTATGAAAATATCTGATAAATTTTTTGGGCAGGGAATGGCATCACTCTCAAGCCTACTGAGTTGTGTCCAGCTTCCAGCAGCTCTTGCTTATTACTTCAGTGGCTTTCAAGACTTGCTGAACCTGAGGACTGACAGGATTTCTTGGCCTGCTTGCCTGCGAAGTGCTGTCGTCCCTTGCAGACCTTTTGTCTTCAGTATTTTAAAAATTTCTTCTAAAATGAAAGAAACAAAGGTAAAAGTCAATTAAATCATTTGATGATATGCATGATCACCAAGCAATAAACACCTTGAATTCCTCTGATTAAATAATGAATGTTTGCTAACTTAAGCTTGGAATTCAGAGAGGTGGGACACAGCTTTAATATGCTCTGAGGGTCAGACCTCAAAAGGCCTGGTTTGTACAGCTAGCCCACTTCAGACTGCATAGAATAACTGTTTCATGTTATTATAGTAAACAATCAAATTTTTAGCTGGTTGGTGCCAATCGCTACCATATATCCTTTCTGGGAGAGGTCAATGAAAATTTGGACAAACTGGATCCTGACAATGCCCAGAGAAGTGTAAATCAGTTTACTTTTGTTGAAAATAAAACCTGGGGCTGGAGAAATGACTCAGTGTGGTTAAGAACATTCATGTCTCTTGCAGAGGACCTGGGTTCAAGTCCCAGCACCTACATGATAGCTCACAACCATCTCTTAACTACAATTACCCAGGGGATCCAATGCTTTCTTCTGGCCTTCTTAGGCTCCTGCACACACATGGTACATATAAGCCCAGGCATACACACAAAAACACATTAAAGAACAAACAAACAAAACAAAACAAAGGAAAAATCTTAGTTTAAAAAAAAAAAAACTCAATAAGACTGAACTAAAAACAGAGTACCAAATAACTCCGTCCTGCACAAGGAATTGACTGTATCTTTATTAGTTGACCAAAAGGATTCCGCAGACCAACTTGCCCAACAAACACTGCAGGCCATTGCCAAATCTATGGTTTACCCTATCAGACCATATTGCTGAAGAACCCACACTCTAGAAACCTTGCTGGTCCTGGACTGCAAGCTTCACCTCGCTGCTAGTGCTCATGGTTCTAGAAGCTCTTCTACATACTACTGGGGGAAAAAGTAATCAGTCTCCATTCATCAAGCTATGAATCCTTTTAACTCCAACAGTGGCCTGCCTTCAAGATGTTCCCACAGGTGTAGATGTTATAGGAGTAGCCAACTTCTCTATTATTGTTGGAACCCATGCTGAGGGTGAATTCTTAGATGTCAGAGTTTATATATGAGTATTATTTTATGAATGACGGGAAAACTGCCCTGTCCCAAGAAGACAACAGTTTTTAAACCAGTTTTTAAACATTTTACCTCTTAAAAGTCTCCTCTTTCAATATCAACTTCTGGCTATATTACCTGTTGTGAGCGATTAAGTTGCTCAACAGCCCAGGCTAATTTATAATTTACTTAGGGTCTTCTACACTTAAGCTTTTGTTGTCAGCAAAGTAAACAGTTAACAAGAAGCTGTCTTTTTATTACCTGGATGGTTTTCTTTGATGGTCACTAAGAAGAACAGCCCTCTTGGGGAGAGGAGTTCTGAAGCCAGCGGGAAGAGCTTGTCCATGACTTCCCGGCCATTCCTGCCGCCGGCCCAAGCTGCTTCTATTCCATGACTTCCTACCTGCCACCAATCACAGAGACTTTTGATTCAGGTTTGAGATTACAAATTTTTTGACATTAAAACATGACCAAAACAAATCACACGAATGTACCATGGCTTTTGAATCTCACTCTGCCAAACTCCTGAAGTCCTTATGCTATGAAAGAACTTTTAATCACCCAACAAATACAACAGCATGCTGGGCAACTGGGCACACCTGCAATTTCTGTACTTAGAAGTGAGAAGGCTGGCTGCAATTTCAAGACCAACCTGAGCTACATGGCGAGACCCTGTCTCAAAAACCCAAGGGACAGAATAGCTCAGCGTCAGAACCCATTTGGCATGCATGGGTCCCTGAGTTCAATCCGAACCACAGGAATATTGTGAAGAGATCAATGCAAATTAAGTTCAATGCTGACACACTGTGTTCTTATTTCTTACTGTGGCCTTTACCCATATTTGATTTTAGTTTTATATATGATCATGCTTTTTGTTTTTAGTAACTTAGTAATGGCATGTTTTGCAATTTAAAATAAGTCCTTGTATTACAATCAAACATAATTTTACAATGCAAAAAAAGTATGTATACCTGCTTGTAAGGGCAGGTTTTTCTATTTTGCTTGTCTGCCTTTCCCCTATCCTCAGCAATTTTGTTTTCAACAGTGGTTCAGAATGTAAGATTGTTCCACATTCTTCCCTGCCTCTCTTTTTGTGCAGGTGATGTCATGAGTAGCATGTATGTGTATGGAGGCATGTGCAGATCAGACATAATCCATGCCTTCTACCTTGTGGGGCGTGGGGGTCTCTCCTGTTCACCACTGCCTATACCAGGCCAGCTGCTGTGTGGGCTTACCATCATGCCACAGGTCTGCTGGGATTATAGATGCACTGCTGCATGTCTTTTACATGGGTTCAGAGGATACTAACTTGGGTCTTCACTTTCACAAGCATCTCATGCACTCAATCACAACCCCAGGCCCATCACTCAACATCTCAAGGAAATCTCATTTCCTCTGGTATAGTTCTAACTAATTTTTTATGTTGCTACAGTATCTTACTAAAAGAATGTATCTTATTTAGCTGGTGTCTGACATTTGCTATCTCTATTTTCTTTGAATCTAATTCTGATTATTCCCAGACCTATTGTCCATTCTCAGTTTGGTTTTTCATAATCTCATTAGGAGATCTGTTAATTCTACTTTTGCATCAGAATTTTCTTTCTGGTCCTGATTCCCTCTGCTTTTCTTCTGGGCAAGCTCCTCCTGCTCAGTACACCCATCTCTGTTCATGCCATCATTCTGTAGGAACTTGTCTAGCTATATCAACAAGGGTCAGTCCCTATCAGGCCTCACACTGATCCTATGATAAGATTCTAGGCTACTGCATCTCATTTATCTGCTTACAACTGAAGATGACTTCGGGAATGCCTGACAGCAGCCCAACCCTGAGGCCAAAGCAGAGAGGATTCCACTTCAGAAGGCTGTAGACACATGATAGTGGCCTTCTGACTGCTTGCTCCCTGGGCCATCGAGTGGGTCCACTCTTGTTCCTTAGAGACCACACATACAACCCACAGCACTTGATTTTTTGTTTCTGAATGTGACAGTGAGTACAGCCACAGATTTGTAAGGCTCCAATGCTTATTCATGTCTTCTGGATGTCATCTCTAAGTCTTTTTATTTTTAACCTCTGTGATTGCTTTTACTTTGCCTTTATACTTTATAGGCTGTAATCATTGTTTCATTTAGTTTTTAGACCACTGTTTTATTTTGCTAGATTAAAACAAAAACAAAACTAAGTGTATGCACACAAATGTGCTCATAAAAATCAAAGGAAAATTTGGGGAGTGAGTTTTCTTCTACCATGTGGGTTCTGGGTTACAACTCAGGTCTTAGTGGTAAGCACCTTTCTTTACCTGCTGAGGAATCTTGCCTGGCTTGTGTCTTGATCCCACCTGATAGTTCAGCTCTGGGAATTAAGGCACCAGATCTCCTAAGACATTGCCTAAGAGCTTGGTCTTTGTATCTCAACAGACATAAGGCTCAGGAGACACACCTGAGTCTTGGTGTTTAAACTAGAAATACAATGAGGCTCCAAGAGGGCCTCACAATTGTTTCTTTACTGCCTGGCTTTCTCAGGATGAACTGAAACCATAACCATGAGTTAGCCCTTCTTGCTACAGACACAGTCATTATAAATAGAAATGTAGTAAGCTTCTGTCCATTTCAGTTTTTATCTTATTGTTGAGCAATTTGTGTTTGTTTAGAGATAGGGTCTCACTTCGTAGTCCTGGCTGGCCTGGAACTGAGATCTGCCTGTTTTTGCCTCCTGAGTGCTAGGGGATTAAAGGCATGCACCACCACACCCAGCTACTAAACAATTTTTAAGGATTTAAATTATTGGACTGAAACATTTTTAAAAATTATATTTATTGTGTGTAGGTGTGTGGGTATACATGTGGTCAGAGGATAGTTGTTGGGGGACTTTCTACCATGTGGATCTTGGGGATAAGGTTCACAGACAAGCACCTTTACCCACTTAGCCATCTGTGCCTGGATTGAACCATTTTTATAACAGTGTTCATTTTCATAGCTTTTTCTTGCGCTTGAAGTTTATATATTAGAAACTTAATCTATTGCTATGCCAATGGCATTTGGAGGTAGTTTGATTAGAGTTAGAGAGATCATGAAGACCATGATGGGTTGGTGCCATATTAAAAGGGAGAAGAGAATGTCTGCTCATTCTCACCATGTGATGCCTCTGTCATAACACAGCAGAAAGGCCTTTGCCAGAGCCACACACTCTGGGCTTGGTCTCCTCAGCCTCCAGACTGTGAGAAATGTATATATTAGTTACCCAACCTGTGGTATTTTATTAAAGGAGCAGTAAGCAGAATATAAGACACTGTAGTGCTGTTCCCTTTTTGACTGACTCCTCAGTTCATGTGAGCACAGCGGGGGCAGTCATGAGAGGCAAATGGAAGCCTTTCATCTTGGAGTGGAAATGAGCATAATATTTACCATCTTTGCCAGAGAAAAATCACCAAAGAATACAACAAGCACACTTAAAGAAAAGCTAGTGTTCGTCTGTTACTATGTTCTTTCACCTTCTAGGGGAACGATGATATGGCTTACCTCCTCACTGTGGAGATTCTTAAATACATGAATATCTATTCTTTCCCTATGGAAGATCAGGATTGGCTAGACACTTAATTTCTGATAATGTAATGGGATGACACCCAAGACTTTGAGAAGGAAATTGCTGGTGAATTTATAGTTGATTAGAAGTATTTTTAAAAACTGCTTTGTAAATGTGTTATTTACAGTAATGGGTCAGCTTAAACACTATTGTCTGATCAGGCTGAGAATTCTGACTAGACAGGTTACACTTTGTACTTCCATCAGTATTTGTTTTCTTCTCTGTCACTCACAGTATCTGTTGACAACATATGTATAGTCAGAGGAGTGTTGTTAGCAGCCATAATCAAAGTGTTGTTAGCAGCCATAATCAAAGTCAAATGAAGTTCATTTTTTCTCCACAAACAGCTGGAAACAGTGATTAGCCTCTGCTGTGGGTCTTACCTCTTCGGGCGGAGTCACTACATAGGGGGGGTTGAACACCAGCAGATCCACTCTCCCCTTTAATCTGGGCAGCAAGCCTTGGACCTGAACGCAGCAACAATACAGTTAAACTGAATTCTGATTTAAGTAATAAATAAGTCTTTACAATTACTCTCTGGCATGTTTTCAGGAGGGAAAGTACTTACAGACAGAAATATTTAATTTTCTCATGCAGACATAGTTACATGAACTTAAGCTAAAAATCAGCAGAGGTAAGAGCAAACATGCTGAATATGGTGTCTACTCAACAGCAGACGTGTTTACACGCTGCGTTCACTTTTAGAAGCTATGAGGTGGGCTTTGATTCTATGAAGTGTATTTCCGGTAGATCTGTGAAGAGCTAGACAGATATCTCTGCTAACTTACACAATGATCTCCTGTAACTAAAATCTCGTGTGTGTGTGTGTGTGTGTGTGTGTGTGTGTGTGTGTGTGTGTGTGATAGAAAGCTACGAATAAAGCTACTTCATTTTCAGCCACACCATCTGAACACTAGACATATAATGCACTGGGTTATGAACACTGAGCATACATTATGAAGTGATATCTGAGAATTTCCCAATCCAGATTTATATACTCAATCCCATTTTATTATCCTGATAAGCCTGTTAAGTTGTAATTCAAAAAGAATTCCTAAGACCTATCTTTAAAAATTACTTGAAGTAATTCTTTTTCTGCTTCTTTAAATTTTTTTTTTTAAGATTTATTTATTGATTTTAAGTATATGAGGGAGGGCTATGTCTGCATAAATGCCTGCAGGCCAGAGGAGGACATCAGATCCCATTATACATGGCTGTCAGACACCATGTGGGTGCTGGGAACTGAACTCAGGACCTCTGTAAGAGCTGCCAGTGCTCTTAACTGCTGAGCCATCTCTCCAGATCCTTTTCTGCTTATTTAAAAAGGAAAACAATAATTATTCTTTGAAATAATTTTGATGCAATTTTGCCTGCAAACCAAAAGATGATCTGTTCCTCCAACAGTGCAAGAACTGGTTGGTGTGGTGGGTGTATGCATGCATGCACACTCGCACATACAAAACTTCATTTTCAAGCCCAGAAAGAAATTAATTTCCAGCCTTTACTCCCAGCAGTCAGAGAGGCAGAGGCAGGTGGATCCTATGAGTTCAAGGCCAGTCCGGTCTACAAAGCAAAAAAGCTACACAGAGAAACCTTGTCTTAAAAAAAATAAAATAAAACAAAACAAAAAGAACCCAAAACAACAACAAACCCTCTAAAATATAATTTTCCAGAAATGCTAGATAAGGAAAATAGAGAAGCTTTTGCTTTGTAACTCACAGTGTTTTGTACTATCCAGCTATCCAGAAATAATTGCAGACTGGATTTTGTAAAAAAAAAAAAACAAAAAAAAAAAGAAAGTTCAAAATGTTGAAACAGAAGCTTCTGACATCAAAATAGATTTAAATAAAAAGTAACCAAGGACTAAATGTCTATTACATCTCTAGGCATCTCTAGCCAGGCCTGGCCAGTTCCCTGCCTTAACATCTCCAAGAACTGAAAAATAAGTAAGTGAAAGAGGCCCTGGCAATGGTGAATACATGCAGCAAAACACGGACTTCATTTGCACTAGGGACACTTAGGGTGGCCCTTACGTTAAATACAAGTCAGAAGTGTCTGCTTCTCTTGCATGAAGCACATGAACAGGGAGGACAGATGTTCTGCCAATAGATGACAGTGAGACAGGACAACAGTGAAAAGATAACGAAGGACTGTCAGCATCTTCCTTAGCACCATACAATTCAGAGTAACTGACATTTTTTTTTTTTTTTTTCCAAGATGGAGTTTCTCTGTTTTAGCTCTGGCTAAAGTGTAACTCATTCTGTAGATCAGGCTGGCCTCAAATTCAGAGATCCACCTGCCTCTACCTCCCTAGTGCTAGGATTAAAGGCCTGCACCACTATTGTCTGGAGTGATTGTATGTTTTAACAACGTACGGAGATACATAATATGTATTTTTAAAGACTGTATTCTAAAAATGAAGAACAATGACAATTCTGAAAGGAGTTACACTATGTAGCCCAGGCGAGTCTCAAACTTGAAATCCTCTGATGCTCTTGAGTACCAGGATTATAGGAGTGAGCCACCATATCCAGCTGGTCACTACTTTTTAAACATGTAAGCTCAAATAAGGAATTTTTCTATGATAGCTGTAACAATCCCTTAATGTAAAAATTCAAACAATCTTTGAATATAAAAGAGTTTGTAAATTGACTGTAATAGTTTTGTTGAAACCTGTCAAAATTTAATTCAGGGCCAAACTTTAACTACTAAGGAGTTAACTCCAACATGGAGAACTTCAGTCACATCCCTGAGCTGCTATGTGGTTTCTAGAGCTGGACAGGAGACGCAGGCTATAACCCTAGAGATATTTTTATTAACACTGTAGTATTCAAAGACACCTCCATTTCCATATCTGTTCAAAAATAGTCAGGGTTTGTTCTGCCTGGTTTTACTGGTCTATCAAAACCCAGGTGTAATATTATTTACAGACACATTGGGGAAACATGCAGTTCTACATCACCATGCTAGGTTTTATTGATATGAAAAGAATTTGTCTGTTGGGGTTAATTCTAGATGGTAAGTCTTCTGTACATGTGAAATATTAGTAAAGTTGCCTGTCCGCATCAGGGTTAGAACAATGCTGGTCACTAATCACAGAGAGCTGGGTGTAACACTGCATGGTAGCAAGTCTAGAACTTGGGAGAGTAAGGCAGAGGATCAGAGTCATTCTTAATCAAAAGAGAGTTCAAAGCTACCCTTGCCTTTTTCAGACTTTTATGTGGAGAGCCGAGAGAATGCAATCGCCATTACGAAATGGCGCCGACATCCGGCCTCGGCCCTAGTGAACAAGTAATAGAGCGCATGTGCGAGCTGCAAAAGCGCGCCAAGTCACTGCCCAGCCCGGGGCGGTACTGCCCAGCCCGGGGCGTCACACGGGGCAATGGGCAAGCAGCCAACCAGCGGAGTACACGCCGCTGCAGGGGGTATTTAAGCAGCACCATTCTGGGGGTTGGGGTCTTCCTCCTCTCATCAATTGACTGCAATAAAGCTTGCTGCAGAAGGATCCTATTGTCCCTGTGCGTTCTTGCTGGCGAGACGACTACGCGGGTTGCAACACTTTTATATTCCCCACGCCCCACCCCAGAAAAGCAGCACAGAAAGCATTCTGTTTCTTGTGCCCACCTGTAGCATGCTATTTTGAGTTTTGACAATGAACAGCATTTCACTGTTGTAACTAAAAATACCACAAATTTTAAATTATTCAACAGGACCTATGAATACCCTTAAAATATTTTAACAACTGAAACTTAAATGATATCATCTGAATTTCTAAAAATAAAGCAATGAAAGGCTGAAGAGATGCACAGAGGTTAAGAGCACTGGCTGCTCCTACAGAGGACCAAGGTTCAAAACTCCCAGTACCGATACTGTGAGGAATAACCATCTGTAACTCCAGTCCCAACAGATCCAATGCCCTCTTCTGGCCTTTGTGGGCACTGGAGAAATGTGGTGCAGAGACATACATGAAGAGCAAAATACACATACATTAAAGCTTTCTCAAAAATTATAAAAACGAAACAATGAAGTGGGGATGTAGTGCTCTACTGGAGACAGGAGAAGCTACAATTACACTGAAAATTTAAGACAGACTGGGATACAGAGAACCATCTGAGTGAGTGAGTGAGTGAATGAATGAATGAATGAATGAATGAATGAATGAATGAATAACTAGCAGTGGTTCTAAAGCTATCATTTATTTTGCTTGTCCCAGGACCTGTGTTCCTTGTTTCTGCTTACATATCCTTGGCGTTTGATAGGACTGTGGTGGTTTGAGTGGGCCTGGCACCATAGGCTCACATGGCCTTGGACAAGGTATGCCCCTGGAGGTGCTTTTTCAATTTGGAAGTTTCAAAAGCCCATGCCAGGCCCAGTCCTGTCCTGCCACACCCCTACTTCCTTTCCCTCCTTCTCTCTCTTACCCTAGCTCCCTCTTTCTTCCTCACAGCAATAGGAAAGTGACTAAGACATGGATATTGTATCTCCTTTCATTCTCAACTCAAGCTTGGGTAGGATCTATGTGGAACGGGGTTCGGGGACTATGACCCAGGTCAAAGCCACTCTTCAAACGCCAGTCCTGAGGCACATGACCCAAACAACTCTCGTTCCAAGATTTCTGCTGAGATACTCCTTTCCATGGGGAGTTGCTAATAAATAAGACTCAGAAATGCAAACATCCTGTAACTATAAGGGTGTTAGACTGCCAAAGATACACCAGAGAAACTCAGAGCTAAGAAAAAAAAAGGTGTGACATCATCCAGGCTCTTGCACTAGCTGTGCATACGCTTTTTAAGTTTAACCCAGTATGAACTGGATACAGAATCACATTTTGCCCTGTTTATGGTCAGAAGTTAATTACTCTCTGGATGCATACCTGTAACTCCAGCATTTATCTAATACAAAATGGTCGGGTCTGAAAACATACATACAGTAACTTTATACAGACTGAGCAGGTTATATTTAGGAGTATACATATATATGACATATATGTGTGTGCATGTATGTGCACATATATGTATTTATGTGCATATATACATATATGTGCACATACACTAATCTTTTCATTAGTTGTTGTATATGCATGGAACAACAACTAATGAAAAGAAGAGGCCATAAATTTGAAAGACAGCACAGAGGGGCATATGGGAAGGTTTGAAAAAAGGAAAGGGAAGGAGGAAATTATGTAATTATAGTAGAATCTTAAAAACAAAAGAAAAGTTTTAATTAAAAATAAGAACAAGGGGCTGGAGAGATGGGTCAGAGTTTAATAGCACTGACTGTTCTTCCAAAGGTCCTGAATGTCAATTGCCAGCAACCACATGATGGCTCACAACCATCTATAATAAGATCTGGTGACCCCTTCTGGCACGCAGATGTACATGCAGTCAGAGCACTGTACGCATAATAAATAAAAATCTTTAAAAAAAAATAAGAACAAAAAAGTTCAAGGTCATCTTTAGTTATATAATAAGTTTGAGGCTAGCCTGGGCTACATGAGATTTTGTCTCATAAAAACAAATTACCGAAGATTATTTGCACCAAAACTTATTGATCTTCAATTAACTGAAAGGAAATCGATTACTACTGAACAAGGATTAAAGCTCACCAAATCTGTAATTACTGGCTGAATGTGGACTCTGTTACAGCGTGCTGTCTCCAACGTACATGCGGCTGCCTCAGGGTTGATATCAGTGCACCTATAAACAGGAGAAAAAAAGATCAGGATAATGTATGGATGCAAATCCATTACTGAGTGGATGCTTTGCTAACTCTACCTTACACAGAAAAAAAAATCAGGATGTTTTTATAATGGCAAAGGAAAAGAGAACAAAGGCTTATTATACTGATGACAAGTGTTGCTAACAAATCTGTTTACACTCATCTGAAGGAATATTTCAGTATGGCTTAAGCAGCCTACAAAATGAAAACTGGAAGAAATTACTGATAGAAAACTGCTACACAAAATACATGGGCAATAACAAGCTGAAGGAGGCACATTTGTTTTGTTGTGGCAAAATCTTCTGATGATTGTTTCCTAGCTCTTATATTCTCAAGTTCTTTGCAAGGAAACTTAACTTTCTAGCTATTTTCTGACAAACTGTTTACCTGAAAATGATTCAAAGTAGAGATAACTTAAAGTTATGTTGCTTCTAAAATCACACAGGATGAAACAGTGAACATGAAATTATAACTTGGGGCAAGCATAATTTGTGACAAGTCCTTACTGAAACACTGTGAGAGACATACTGTCTACTTTAAGTACTTCACCCAAGCTGCCACAGTCATGATGACCCATGATGTGTGGAAGGGCATCACATACTCACATGTACAAGGCCTGAGGACCTATCATGGAGGCGAGGAATGCAGACACCACACCAGACCCTGCTCCTACTTCAAGGCATATTTCCACTCTGACAACAACAACAAAATATTGGTTTCATTCCTATGAAGATATTTTTCATGGGTAATTCTCATTCTATATTGTATTTTCCCAGCACCATCATTCACTTGCAAATATATAGGAAATATATGTATAAGGGATATATAAGGGAAATTTACAGTTTTTGACAACCATTTGGTGCTTGTTGCATAGCTCAAAGCTGGTAAATGTTAAGGGGTATAACAAGATTGACAGTCACCTTGAAGTATCTGAATAAATCCGGTAGCATATGCTAGGGGTAAAAGCCCTTCTCCTACCTAGACAGATGCAGAACTGAGATCTCTCTATTGAATACTAATGTGGGCAAGTACCTCAGTGTCTGATCTTAGAGCACCAATAGTCTTGGCTTTCTAAACTTAAAAATCTTTGTTATTTTTCAATAAATTTATTTCCATGGTGCACTATACATGGATACATGGATACCAAAACACTACTTAATTTTCATGACTGACTGGCCTGATGATAGTTAACTGGAATCTCTGGCACTTAACTTTTCAAACAACTACTCAAGGAGGAGCTACAGGATTTTTCAATTTAGAACCAGCCACATTATCTGACATTAATGGGTCATATTAAAGCTTGTGAATCTTACCAGGTGGCTTCTTTTTAGAAATAACCATTTCAGACCCATAAATAACTAGAATTCCAAGCCTCTGTAACAAGGACAGCTCCATTACAGCATGCTCTGCAATGCAATTTGTAGCTGTAAATCTTTCTGGGCTACACTGGGCATAGACATTACAACCCACCATTCCATAGATTTTCCAGTAGACCGAAATCCTCCACCGTCTACGATGAAAGACTCTCTTTAAGAGCATTTTAAAAGTAGAAAAATATGTCAAAGCTTAAGAGGGGTAAACATGGCTATTTCGTTCTAGAGAAACCCAGTTCAAATCTTGACCATTAAGCCAATGACCCAAATTCTTTCAGCAAACTGTTTCATTAGATTTTGTGTTTATGTGTTGGGATGACACATACAGCATTACAACTCAAAGTCCAAGAACAACCTGTAGTTTCTCTCCTACCGTAAGGACCTGAGGACTGAACTCATGTCCCCAAGGCTGACAGCAAATGCTTTTATCAGCTGAGCCATCTTGCCGGCTCTAAATTCAAATTCACTAAAAAATTAACATGTGGGCACTTATTACTTTTGTCTTTAAAGGTTATGGCCAATCAGGGTGGTGAAGATCCTGCAGGCGGATGCATTTAACTATGAAAATCTTTCATAATAGTTCTATGCAACTAAGTTTCTAACAATTCGATTGAAAATTCAGTTTCTCGGTTGCAGTGATATTTCATGCGCTCGCAGGGCTAATGGCTGTTCCTTGGGTACGTTCAGAGGGTTTAACAGATCTCTACTCCATCATTTGTGTCCTTCCGTTGCCAAAGGTTGCTATTTATGCACTACGGGGTTAAAATAACCCTACGCGCCATTTAAGTATTTACTAAACATCTTAAAATTGAAACGTCTAGTTTCTGGTGGCGACACTAGGGTGCTTTCAAGGGCTTGCTTACATTCTTTAGATTGACAGCTGAAAGGCAAGGGTGATCCTTAGCCACGTCAAACACCTGACCGCGCACTGAGGTCTCCGCACGCGGGAAACGCCTCCTTTACCCTGCTCGGCTGACTACCACCAGAAGGTGGGCCGAACCACCACTTCCGGAGGAGGGCGGCAGAGCTTCCGGCTTCCGCCTCTAGGACACCCGCTCTCTCCCGCTGCGGCGCGCACCCTCTTCGCACCCTGCTAGCTCCGCCGCTGCCGCCTCCAGCGCGTCCAGGAGCAGGAACGTGTCCTCCGCGGGCTCGTACACGTCGCTGAAGGCTCCGCGACCCACGTGTCCGTACAACGGCGTGGGGAGGCTCGGCGCCGCCATCTTTCTTTTCCGCGTCTCACCGGCCTGCGTTAAGTGCGCACGCGCCGGGCGCGCGCATGCGCTTTGGCCTGACGCTGGGGCGGAGTTTGGGGTGAAAGTGTGTTTTGTGTCAAGGCTAGCAGATTATCTTGGAACTCTTAAGTAGTTATATATTCTGTAATCACCAGCATCAGATTTGATCTTATGAACATCCTATGTTTATTTTTTATCAACTACGCTTATTTTGACCATCCTCGGTTACTTTTTTTACTAAGGTGACCACTAATGACTTTTGGAAATTTTCTTCTACTTTTAACTTCTAAGGACTTGCGAAAATGGTGATTCCTAAATTTTACTGTTTTTTTTAACATCTGGGATGTAAATATTAATCTATAAGATTATGACTTTTTATTTGCCTTATCCTGTTATACACAGTTTCACTGTGTACCCTTGGCTGTCTTGGAATTCATTATGTAGACAAGGCTGGCCAGGAACTCATCACAGTGATCCGCCTGCCTCTGCCTCCCGAGTGCTGAGGCTAAAGACTTGGGCTGCCATGCCCAGCTTGGTTGTGACTTTTAAATTTTATTTTTACTTGACAATTTTATACATGTATAAAATTCATTTTGGTCATTTTCATTCATTGAAATTATAGTTCCTGCTGGACAGTGGTTGCACACGCCTTTGATCCCAGCATTCGGGAGGCAGAGGCAATCCTGGTATACAGAGAGAGTTCCAAGACAGCCAGGGCTGCACAGAGAAATACTGTCGCAAAAAGCCAAAAACAGAACAAAACAAAGCCCGTGGTTGGGAGGACTGGAGAAGCGCCCAGTGGTTGAGACCTTGTAGTGCACTTGTAGAAGACCCAAGCTTGGTTTTCTGCACCTTTCGCTGGTGGCTCACAACCATCCGTAACTCCAGCTCCAGGGGTTCGTCGCTCTTCTCTCCTCAGTGGCACTCAACTGTTGTGCACATACATGCAGGACAAAAACTCATACGTACAATAACGATATTTAAAAATGTTGCGGGCTGGAGAGATGGCTCTCAGTACCCACATCAGGTTGTCTCACAACTCTAGCTCCTGGGACTTATATCTTCTGTCTTCTGCCAGCATCCAGAAATACAGAAATGAGGATGGCGAGATGGCTCTGCCGGTAAGAGGCAGGGTCTGCCAAACCTGAGCACGTGGGCCAGACCCCTGGAATCCACACAGTGGAAGGTGATAACCTATTCCTGCAGGTCGTTCGCTGACCTCCATAGGTATGGCAGCATAGAGTGCACACACATGCAAAAAAAAAAAAAAAAAAAAACAAAAACAAAAACAAAAAAAAAAAACCAGAAACATTTTTTAAATTGCCATTAGAAGGTACTACTGTTATTTTCACATTCATCCTTAAAATAGCTTTCAAGTACAAGAAATAAAACGAAATGGCCGTTCTTTCTGCATTCAAGTTACCACACTTTGTGGCCTGAATTTTTCTTAAAGATTTATTTTTACGAATGTGAATGTTTTATTTGCATTTGTGTTGTGGGCTATGGGTGTGCAGTTCCTGCAGAGGCCAGGAGAAGGTGTCAGATCCTCTGGAACTGGAGGTACAGACAGTGGTGAGTTGCCATGTGTTTAGGAAGCGCACCTGGGTCCTCTGGAAGAGCAGCCAGTGCTCTTAACTTGCTATATATTTCTAGTTCCTTTTTTTTTTTTTTTTTTTTTTTTTTAAGGTTTCAGGGCTTCTTTTAAACTTTCTTTATGTGGATTATTGTTTTGCTTGTGTGTATGTGAGTGCACTATGTGAGTTCCTGGTGCTGGAGTAAGTCAGAAAAGGCTTCTAATCCCTTGGAACTGAAGTTATGGATGATTGTGAACCTGAGAACAAAGGGTCCTTAACTTCATGGAGAAGCAGAGAATTTAAAAGATGTGTATTGTATGCACATGAGTGTATGGACGTGCTTGCCCGTGTTCATGCATGCAGAGGTTAGGGGAGGATGTTGGTTGTTGTGCTGGGATCAGACCTAGGTCGTCTGCAAGCACAGACAGTGTGCTTGACCACTGAGTCATCTCTCCATGACCCATGTGGGTTCTGGGAATCACAACTGGGTCATCTGCAAGAGCAATTAAGAAAACACACATTTACTTTAATTTCATGTGAATGGGGGTTTTGCCTGCATGTGTGACTGTGTACTTTGTACGTTCAGGGCCCAAGAAGCCTGAAAAGGGTTGTTGGACCCTCTGAAACGGAAATTACAGAGGGTTGTTAGTCCCACTGTGTGGTGGAAGATGAACTAGGGACCTTTTCTGGAACAACCAAATACTCTTAACTTTGGAGATATCTCTCCCACCCCTGACCAGAATTTCTTGGTAACGTCTTATGGATAATGGTGTATAATCATTTGACCAATTCTTTTATACTTTCACATTCATATATTCATAAGTATAGTTTGGGTAAAATGTATTTTTAAAAGTGTATAGCTAGTAAAAGGTTGCATATGTTGTTTTTTCAATTTCTTTTTCATTTTTTTAGTGTTTTTGTTTGTTCATGTCTATATGTGTGTGTGTGGATGTATTCCATGTGTGTATGGGTGCCCGATGAGGCCAGAAGAGCCCCTGGAGCTGTTATTTCAGGAGGTTGTAATCTGCCCCAGTGTGGGTGCTGGGAGCTGAATATGGGTTCTCTGGAAAAGCAAGAGGGGGTCTTAACTGCTGAGCATGTCTGCAGCCTCAGGGCTTATGTTTTAATAGATGAGTAAAGCTTACTCACTGCTTTTAGACACCATGCCATAATGTACTGTTTAAAATACTTCTATCTAGAATAAATAAATGCCTGTTGATAAATACTGACTTTTTCCAAGGTTTGTCTGTTATAATTCTCAAGAACAACTTCCTTAATTTTCTTCCATTTTTGGACATACATTTCCTGGTGTGAGATCTATTACATACATGTTCAGTTTTCTAGCTATTACCCATTTCTCTCCAAACTAAGCATACTTGTTTATACTCCTGCCATCTCTTGGTGGCAGATTTATTATTTGATTTAATATTAGACATCTGTTTTAGATTGAATTGGTCTGACTGCTGATTGAGATTAAGCTTGTATTCATATGTTCATCATGAGAATTTCTTCTTTTGTGACTTGTCTGTACTTTTGTACATACTTGTCCTTTTTTTCAGGGGAGGGTATCACTTTGTAGCCTTGACTGGCCTGTAACTCCCTATGTAGACAAGGCTGGCCTCTAATTCATAGAGATCCCTCTGCCTCTGCCTCTCAAGTGTTGGGATTAAAGGCATGTGCCACCATGACTGGCTTTACTACTTCTTCTTCTTCTTCTTCTTCTTCTTCTTCTTCTTCTTCTTCTTCTTCTTCTTCTTCTTCTTCTTCTTTTTTTAATGTTTTTGATGTTGGGCATTGAACCTTAGGTTTTCAGACCTATGTACACATTTCATCCCTAAATTATATTCCCAGCCCCTATTTTCATTATTTTGATTTCTTTTATTAAATTTATTTTTATTTTATGTACATTTAAATTTATTTTATGTACATTGGTGTTTTAACTGCATGTATGTCTGTGTGAAGGTATCAAATCCCTGGAACAGGAGTTACAGACAGCTAAGAGCTGCTGTGTGGGTGGTGGAATTGAACCTCGGTCCTCTGGAAGAGCAGTCAGTGCACATAACCACTGAGCCATCTCTCCAGCCCCCACTTTTATTTCTTTTTGAGACAGAGCCTTATGTAGCCCAGGCTAGCCTCAAGCTTCTATGTAGCTGAGGATGACCGTGAACTTCTGATTCTGCTGCCTTCACTCTGGGATTACAGGTATGTCCTGCCATGCTTTGTTTTTTTCAGTGCTGGGGATCAAACTCAGGGCCTTGTGCATGCTAGGTCAGTCCGGAAGCACTGAGCTACATCCCTGAACAGCTCTTAGGATTTTAGAAGAAAAAGTCTTCTCTGCCTTCCAAGCTTTTCAGAGTGTAGGGGTTTGTTTTTGTTTTTTGTTTGTTTGTTTTGTTTTTCTTTGAGCATGGTCCTCTAACTCAGTGCTTGTACTCAGTTGTCTACTCTGGAGAGTTGGAGGTCAGTTTTCTGAGAGATTTGATGCTGATGGATCAGTCACGCTGGTGACTGCTATGGCTGCTTTGGGACTGTCTTTAACTCCTTTGTCTACTCGGTTCACAGTTAGAATTCTGAAATTATGTCTAAGCTTTATGTTGACAGTCCCACCCTTGCTTTTCTCTTGTCTGTGTGAGTGTGACACTCTCGCTGCATTGGGTATTTTTACCTTCCTTTTCTCATGCCTTCTGAAGTTACTGAGGTTGGAGACCTTAAAACTGTTCTGAGGCTCTGGTTTTAGAGGTGACTTAGGTCTCACCAGTCCTTTTCAACCCTGTGAGCAGAACACTAAGATATAGACTGACTTCTGTTGACTATGCTAGTTTTGCTGGCAAGCAGAGTTGGTTTCCCTGAAAGGGCTATATGGAATCTTCAGCTCCTCAAGGCACAGCTCCTGCATTCTGTAGCTGTAAAAGTGGTGGTTTTGACGGCCTGGCCTGGAACCATCAACTATAGCAGTGCATTCTTGATTCAACAGTTGTCTGACCAAGACAGTGCCAGAAGCTCAGTTGTGCAGTGTGGTTTTAAGAGGTACTCTTGAAAGTTCAGCCTAAAGCTGATCTTTGGACCTCTCAAAGCTGGCTGTGTTACACCCTGGTTATCCTGTGAAGAATTTCTTTTCCCTTAAGCTAACTAGAAATGGATTCCATGAGTGCAGTAGAACTGCCACAGTTCTTTTGAGTCCTGCATTTTCTGGTTTGTTGCAGTCATGCTATATTTCCAAGAGGTTTAAAATTGATTATTCTAAGGGTATTTGGTTCCACCTCTGGTTATGGTTGTTGATGATATGGTGTTGAGATCATGTACCAGTACCAACCATCCATTAACTATGGTTAATGGTTGTACTTTCTCTTGGTAGTCAAAATTAAAATTTCTCAGAGGCATCAGAGTTCAATAACAAGCTATAATAAAATTTATTTCTAATCAGAAGAAGGCTTTG